ATCGTTCCTGTTGATTGCTAGGGCACGATAGCTGACCATCGATGTTTTGCTGGTCATTGTAATATAAAGGGTCATAGACCTTTGCAAACGCCTTAAAGATTGTTGCCTAGGTTCACCAGCGATCCTCCAGCTCTAAAACATTAAATTTTACAACGCAATCTCATGCAAAAAGCTTTGTAAAAGCCGGCCATAACACAGCTTTATCGTTCGATGGCAGAAGGCACAGATCTTTTTTCTTTCAATGCCATAATTATAATTCAATAGCGAAAATGCAAATATTTATTTGAACTTATTTACAGCAGATATCTCTTTTGCATCCACCTGCTGATTATTTACATAAGATATTATTGTTTTTCCGTTTTTATCCATCGAAGTTGGCGCTGAATGCCTATCCCACGCTTTTGCCATATATTATTTGTAGAAACTTTTAGCATATTCGCTGTTAAAAATGTATAAGTGTATTTGTGTGTACGTTATACAGTAATTTTTTCTTTTCCTATCCCAGACTTCCATAAAATAAGAGTTTACTAAGTATCAATAACACATCAATAATTTAAACCTACTTTTAATTGAATTGCATGAAGATAACTACAGATGTAAGCAATGTGCGGCTATATCGCTTCTTTAACAGGCTAAAAAGTCAAACGTACAATACAATTGTATTTGAACAGAACTGTCATCTATTCAATAGTCTTGTTGTGGTTTTACTTCATTACGATCCAGTTATTATTAATAAAACGCCAGATTATCTAATAACAGAAAATGAATATGTCAAACGCTTTGATATACATCTTATTCAGTGTCCAGTGGCGTATCTATCCTGTTTTTTTTAACTTACTTTTTAACAGGTTAAAAACTATAATAAATAAAATAAATTCTGTGGCTCAAAAGCCAATTACAAAGATAAGACATTGGTTAAGAAGTTTTGCCGTTAACCACTGCAAATACTTCCATAGCTTTAGTAATTCATCGTTTGCCATTATGTTAATAGAAGTCCAGTGAGGTATTTGAATTCATTATTCATCTAGGTCTATAGATATTTACTTTTAAATAGTTTAGTACTTTTATTTTGGGTTTAAAGAGACATAATGATATACGGAAACTGCTATCGCTATAAATTGCATAATATTATTGTAATAGCTCACATTTATCTCGGTATTATTTCCTACATTGATAATAAATAAATGGTAATTACTTTTTTAGATATGTTTACATGAATAAACCTTTTTAATAATCGTAAACAAATTGTAGTTTTGGTAAAGAGCTTGAGTTATAAATAAGAACCGTGGCAAATGCATCGAATCAAAACAATAATAACCGATACGATAAGTTAAAATGTTCATTCCCAAAACAGCTTTTACTTTTACCAGTCCACTATTTGGTTTATTATTATGTAAATGACACTATATTTAAATTTCTAGCATTAAGCGCCATTTGAATTACAAAATGGAGGCGTATGGCACCATTGGTATTTAGTATTTACTATGGTTTGTAGTAAATTGGTTTTGAGTTATATTGTTTTATTTTAATCGTTAGAATAATTATATTTTATCTGTCACACGACTTCAAGGCTCTTATAAAATTAGTAGTCGTGGTCAAAAAAATTGAAGCTTATGTATGGTAAAAGTCGAAAAAATGCTCATTGTTATTTTTTGCACATTTTCAAAGACCCTAGAAACAAAGTAAAAGTAGTCATAATATTATGAAAATTTCAGTATTTATAGGAAATTTTATGTAGATTCAGAATATATAAAGAACCTTTGAAGGCTTAGATAGATAGAACCCTGGTTTTGTGAGAAAATATTTTTTTTCAACCATTGTTTTTTAGCTATTTTTGATGATGGTTAAAACTTTTACTAGATCCATTACTGTTCTTGTAAGACTACAATAACCTATATTTTATTATTCTACACCTTTTAGTTAGTAAATAACAACAGTTTTAACAAAATCGGCGAAATTTGTTAATTTTCATGACTATATTATGTTTGGGAAAAAGTCGAAAAAATGCCAATGTTTGGCTATTTTTTATACATTTTCAAAAACCTTAGAAACATAGTAAACATAGTTATAAAGTTATCAAAATTTCAGTATTTGTAGAAAATTTTATGTATAATCAGATTATAATATCCACCTTTGCAGGCTTAGATACCTTGGTTTTGTGAGAAAATTAATTTTTTGAACCGTTTTTTTGCTATTGATGATGGTTAAAACTTCTTCTACATCCATTACTGTTCATGTAAAACTGCAATGATCTTTATTTTCTTATTCTACAACTATTAGTAAATAACAGCAATTTTCATGACTAGATACATAATGGAGTAAAGAAACTAGGTAACATATATGGAAAGAAATGAACTTTTTGAACGATCTTTGAACTATTTTATTCACGTTTACAAAGATGCTAGAAAAAATAGTATATAGATCCATAAAATTTTGAAAATGACAGCATTCGTAGAAAATTTAATGTTATGTACATTCCGAATCTGTAAATATTTAAACACTTACACATAGCTGTATGTTTACTGAAAACAATTCAGCCTAATGAAACAGGTAAAGGTATGTTAAAGCTTAACAAAAAGCAGCCTTATTTTCTTGGCTCAAACAAAAAAAATCTACCTATAGAATCGACTAAAAATAACGAGAATCAGGTTCAAACTGACCAGTCACCTTCAGGTTCGAACTCCGCAAGTGATTTTATAAAATTCAATTGGCACATCATTAGCTTATTGTATTTTATAGTTGTTTATGAGTTCAACAAGGGACGACGACTGTCTGATGAAACATTATCCGCTTGTCGAATTATGAAGTTAACTCTATATTGAAAAGAAACCAACTTCATATTTAGTCATTGTCTTGATTATTTTGTTATGCATCAAATGATCGTCTTAGCATGGTCTCAGACAGGCCCAATTCTCAAAAAGCTTACAAGAAAATTCGTAAAGTGCATGAAAAATACATACAGTTCTACTAAAACGGAATGCTGCATTTCCCATGACTCACATTCTAAAGAAGTATATTTATGTCTTTTATATATAATTATATTTACAATCACATACACTCTGAAAATAGGATATATGAGATTGATATAAGAATATATACAGGGTGGTCGGAATTGTACTCGGGAAACTTCGGCAGTATATTCTGCAGATAACAATAAGTAAAAAAGTATGCCCTAAAATGGCTTTGTTTCTGAGATACAGGGTGTAGAAATTTGATTTTTATTTCGATTTTTTCCAAATAAATTTTGAGTTTCGAACGCCGATATTTGGATAAAAATTGGTGTCTGGCTGTTTTTTGAAATGAAATATTCGATTTCGATGTCAATATGACTCCTACTTTTAGGAAGCGCCACCTACATAATTTTTAGCTGCTTTAAAGATTGATAACTTTTCGTCCGCACCTGTATTACAGTACTGAGCGAAAAAATATACATTTTTGTAATTTATTACGTAAAAAAATCTCTTAGTAAAAATCGCTACGAGTTTATTGAAATAGTCAATTCATGTCATAATTTATACATGGCAAAAATTATACATGTTGACTGGATAGTTATTAGTCTGAAGTAATAAATTTGAAATGTTTTTTTGCCAAAGATTCAACAGATACTGTTTTATCGTATTTTTTTTCTAGAAAAAATCATGATTAGCTTAAAAAAATAAAAAAGTTCCCAAATTAATAATTTTAGTCAAATAACTATCTAGTCAACATGTTGTCAATATAATGACAAGTATTGACTAATTCCATCTCAAATATCTTGAAAAAGTAATGCTAGCTTAATGCCGGGACCCCATTAGCCAACACGCCACGCCATGCCACCCCACGGCATGAAGATGTGTGCTTATGTTTTTCCATTTAATTACATGTATTGCGTACGCACTAGGCAACACGCCACCCCACGTCACGCCATCCCACGCTATCACACATGTGTCGTCTGTCCCAGATCTCATGTGTACACTCTTTCCCACATCGCAACACGTGGGATAGCGTGGCGTGTGGCCTAATGGGGTCCCGGCTTAAGCGTAGCAATTTTTACAAAGAGACATTTTTTACGTAATAAATTACGGAACTGTATATTTTTTACTCAGTAGCTTTATTTACGGACGAACGAAAATTTTTTTTGCTTACGAACGGACGAAAAGTTACTACTCTTCAAATCAGTTAAAAAACATGTAGATGACGCCCCTACAAGTAAGAGTCATATTGACATCAAAATAAAATTTCTCATGTCAAAAAACAACCAGACACGAATTTTTATCCAAATATCGACGTTAATTCAGAAATTATTTGGAAAAATCTACGAAACTAAACAATTTAGGACATACGAACTTTTTTACTTATTTTTATAGAACATGCTGCCGAAGTTTCCACAATACAATTCGAACCAACCTGTATAATTACGTAAGTACTTGGCCAGTGAATATAAAAAATTGTATAAAACTTTTTTTTTCAGTGTAGGTCTAAATATAAAAAATATGTGTCAAAATTTCTTTTTCGGTGTAGGTGTAATAAATGTACTGCTGTATTATTAACACCCTATATGCTATTTGCGAGCTGTACAAAAATGGTTTTTATCTCAAAATTAATCTAGCTTTAAACGTTCTCATTATAGGCTTCGTTGGTTACATCAATTTTGAGACTTTAAATTGGGTTTTGTAATTACTGCTCTGTTCTACCTGTTCTCAGACCTTATCTCCAAGCCTGTCTGCAGTTATTTATTGAGCTATCTCACATGTAAGCCGTTTTAGAGGTATATTTATATATTCTTCGAGTGCGAAATATATTTTTCTTAATTATTATGCATTTCGTTTGAATCGAAATAATATTTAATGGCGAAATATACTTAGTTTGTCAACTGGAAACTTCATACGTTATATACTACACCCTAGAATCATCCAGGATTGTAAAAATCTCTGTATATTAAACAAGTAAACCTTACACAAAAGGAAACCTTCGGTATTTTGGCTACAAAATACTTGATTCACGTAGTATTTCATTTTTAGATATAAGGCTTCAATTGAACGAACAATTACGATGTCTGGATATGCGCATGGAAGCCCAAGTGGCTCTGTTAACAGAACTCCAGGATTTTTTTCGACGAAGAGGCGAACTGGAGTTGGATTACTCGAAGAATTTGGATAAATTAGCCAAAAGTTTACAACTTAGACATAAAGAACAGAAACAAAAGTGCGTTCATATCAGATTCCTTTTCAGAATATTTTTAGTGTGTTTTAATTATCATAAAAATTCGTAATATTTACTAGTTTCGGTAAGTTTTATGAAACTAGAAGATATACTTATTTTGTAATATTAAAACTTACTAGTTTCATAAATTATGAGACTAATAAATTACTAGTAAGTTTATAATCTTAACAAATTAGTAAATTTAATAGATCAGAATAACCTAGAAACTAGTAAATGTGGGATTTTAAAATTTTCTAATAAATCTTATATTTCCAAAACAGTTAGATTTAATAGTCTCATTATATTAGATACATTTTATCATTTTACTAGTTTCATAAAAATATCATACTAGTAAATTTACTAGTTTCGTTATATTTAGATTTAATGGTCTCATTATATTAGAAACATTTTATCATTTTACTAGTTTCATACAAATATGATACTAGTAAATTTACTATAGTTTCGTTATATTAAAAACTTACTAGTATAGTAGCTTAATTACTAGTTTCATATAATTTTATGAAACTAGTAAATCTAGACGTGTCGTATTAACAACTATGTTTATATCAATCTAGAAGGGAACAATGGCCATTATTTTCGAGCTATGCATGCTGGCAACAACTAGTATCACAGACGAAAAATTTGAGCAGGGACCACGTAGCTTTATCCGAAGTATATTCAACCCACTTAGTATCTAGATTGTCGCAGGTCATGGAGGACGTACAGCGAATATACAAAAGAGTACGTTTATTTGTTTACCGACGTAGTAAAAGCAAACATTATCTCGCTAATTGCATAATTTCCATTTGAAAGCTTTGTTTACACTTTCGTTTTTCTCCAGTGTCGCGAAATTGGATATGAGACGCACGAGGAAATTCTCAGAGTTTTACACGAACTTCACACAACAATGAAAACATATCACAGCTATCAGGCCGAACTGAGACAAACGGAGACCAAACTCAGGACAGCGGAGATACAAAGGAGTAAACTTGAGGTCTCTCTGTCCCAAGACAAACTGGAACGTTCCAAAAAATATAAACTCATGGAAAAAGAAGTTGCCAAAGTAAACTATAGTTATTTCTTTCAAACTGACATTTCTTAAAATAAAATGTATATATTTTAGAGGAGGAATAAGTACAACGATGCAAAATTAAAGGCTTTAAAAGCTAGAAATGAATATATTTTATGTCTCGAGGCGTCCAATACCACTATTCATAAGTATTTTGTTGACGACTTATCTGATCTCATTGATGTAAGAAAATATTACTTATATGCGAACTTCATTTTAATAACACTTAAATATTTCAGTGCATGGACTTTGGTTTTCACAACTGCATCTCTCGCGCACTACTAATGCACGTTACTGCCGAAGAAGGTAGACAGAAATCTGTCCAAAATGGTTTGGACACTCTCTCAGCCTGTATAAACTCCCTGGACTCACGATTTGATAAACAAAGATTCCTGGAGTACAATCACAGTGCATTTATGATCCCGAAGAAGCTAGAATTCCAAGGACACAAAACTGAAGAGCCAGCAGAACCAGAAATCCAAAACTTACTGCACCGAGAAATGGAAAGCAGGCTTACTCAGCTGCAACAAAGGGTCACGTCTTTAAGGGCTGAGTCTGAAGAGGTGTGGAAAACTTTGGAAACTGCAGAAACGACGCTTTTGGATATGTTAAGCGCGAAAGATTATGATTGCAGTGGGTATTTTGGCGATAATGCGCAACCCTTGAGTAAACCTCCCGAAACTGTCTCAATCAAAGCAAGATCTGATCGACAAGAGACCGAAGAATTCTATTTAACTGTAAGATTACACTTTCTTTTTAATGTATTATAGACTTATTTTATTTTTTAGAAATTCCGGGAATATTTATTAGGCTCGTCCAAAATAGCAAGACTGGACGCGAAACAAGAGTACCTTCGACAATCTTTGGTAGCCGAGGCTCCAGAACTGTGCCAAACAATCAGACCGGTCGCCAAAACACCCAAAAGGAAACGAATAGGCCGACTGCAATTAAGCGGACAACCAAAATTATTTGGCGGGTCCATAGAAGAATACCAAGAAGCCACAAATCAAGAAATTCCCTTAATTCTTAGGTCTTGCATTAGGGTTATTAATTTATATGGTATAGTACTATATTTAGTCTACTGTTACTAGGCTTCATAAAATAATTTCTTACAGGTTTACACCATCAAGGTATCTTTAGAGTGTCGGGTTCTCAAGTCGAAATAAATAACTTCAGGGAATGGTTTGAAAGGGGGGAAGATCCTCTGGCAGACATGACAGATGCGTCTGACATAAACAGCGTTGCTGGAGTGTTCAAGCTTTACCTCAGAGAACTGAGAGAACCTTTGTTTCCTATCATTTACTTTGAACAATTTATGGAGCTAGCACGTAAGCTTAAAAGTAATTTTAAAATATCGTTCGGTAACTTGATTTCGATTTAGAATTAGAAAACAAAAGGGACTTCATTTCCAAGATGCGTGAGGTGGTCAAGAGCCTTCCCCGACCAGTGATGATTGTTTTGCGTTATCTCTTTGCATTTTTGAACCACCTTTCCGAATTTGCCGATGAAAACATGATGGACCCTTATAACCTGGCTATATGTTTCGGCCCAACTTTAGTTCCAGTTCCAGACGATAAAGATCAGGTGCAATACCAGAACCAGGTCAACGAGCTTATCAAGAACATCATCATATACCATGACGAAATCTTTCCTAATGATGGTGGGCCGGTTTACGAAAAATATATTTCTCCAAACACCGACGATCAGTATGTTGTTTATATTTCAAATAAAAACAGTTAATTTTATCAGATATTTTTTTAGGGATGTAGGGGATTCACCTTCAGATCAAACTCAAGATGACATAGATTCGGAAGTATGTCCTTCAGAAGATGGTAATTTTTTTTTCTTTTTCGAAAAAATAAAATAAATGTTTATATATTTTCTTTATTTTAGATTCAGAAAATATTGAAGCCACAGCGCAATTCGACTTTATCGCAAGATCAAATAGGGAGCTATCGTTAAAAAGGGGGGATAATGTGACTTTATACTCGCAAGTGTCAAACGATTGGTGGAGAGGTGCTGTTAACGGTCAAGAGGGCCTTGTTCCTGATAAATATATCTCATTGAAAATTAAGTATGTCTTTTAGGAATTGAATTGTACAGGAGTTCTTCGTTTTACGCGGGTTTATTAATTCTATATTATATAGGAAATATTAACATACTATACATGGTGAGTCTTACATATTTTTAAGGGTAGTATATTTCGACCCCACAAATATGATTATGAGATTTTTTCGCGGAAAAAAATTGGAAATTTGAAATTTAAAAAAAAATTGGAATTTTTAAAAGAAATTTAGATAATATCAATTTTCCTTCGTGGATTTATCCATCCTGTATACAACAAAATATTTTTGTGATATGCACCATTATAAACCATGCCATATTTATATGGACCTTTTTTTTTCATATCTTTGTCAACGAGGATATTGGACTTCGCACTAATAGGCCATCCTGTATATATCTTAATAAATATTAAACTCGTAGCGAAACGGGGGACTCCTGTAGATACTGTAAAATAGGTATAAATATATTTTTCTTCTTGCAGAGATGACGAGCGCGATAGGGACAAGGCCAGTAATCTAAAGGCCAGCTCGTCGGAGGAATCGGTGCTGCGCAGAACGTCCAGTTCCAACGAATCCGAAATATTAACCGATGCGCATAACAATTTATCGTCTAGTGGCGGGCCGGTGTGGCCCAGCTCAGAGGTACTAGAGACAACTGTTTAGTATTAATTTGTGACGTAAACCGTTCTGTGACGTTGTGACATTTGGCTGTGTTCCGTAACGAATCGCACAACGCGCTAGAGGTGTCGCTGGTGTTTTTCGACACCAACCCTTAGAGACTGGTTGGCTAAATTTTGCATGCCTTTTTTTTATTGTGGATTTTTTTTAATTAGATGTGCATGTGCATGTTTTTTTTTGTGTTCTTAATAAAATATGATAAACTCACAATTTTTAATAAATAAAAACTCTTTTAAGGTTTATCATATTATATTAATGTCTCACTGTAGTTGTATTTGTCTAGATACAGAGTATATATTTTTTCTATTTTAAATTAATAAGATTAGTCAATTTTTTTTTTATAAGTTACAGCTGTCTAGTAATATGTCTCGTATATATATTTGAAATAAAAGGATCAAATAAGCACCTGATACATATTCATTATTATATTTCAAAATCCTGAATATTTAAAAAAAATGTTGCAATCTGTAAAAAAACTGCTTTTGTTTGTTGTTTTTTGTTCGAATGCCATGCCGAGCTTTAAAAAATATATATTATTTGAGCGATAGTGTTGCTTTTGTTTTTTTTTTAGCCTAAGAGTGTAGAAGTATTTTTACAATTTTATTTTTTGTTGATTTCCTAGAAATAATTAAACAGCCTCGGGTCATCATTACATAAAAGGTGAGCATAATAACTGATTTCAACATTTGCATGTTTCAAATTCGTTCTCTTGGCTTATTTCATCAAAATATTTAACAGTTAAACCCATTTTGTCTAAGTTTGATACAAAAATAATTTTATAACATTTTCCTAAAGGTTTTTTTTATTTTTATTCTTTTTTAAAACAAAAATATAAATCGATAAATAAGCGGCTTGGTAAAGGTAAGAACACTTTGCACTGCATGCACTTACTGTTTAAAACTAACCCATCATAGTTTCACAACTTTTTACTCATTTTGCATTTGAGATCGTGATTTCTCAGTATATTTAGATGTCAACTTAAATTTTCTTTGCAGCATATCCCTGCAGATGAGGCAGTGATTTCAAAAGAAGAAATAGGCTTAGCGATTCAGAAGGTGCTAAAAAAAGATTTACCCGTCAGTAAAACGACAAACTCTAATACCACAGAGCAGGAAAAAGAAAATATTAGTGAAGATTCTCAAACCGTACGTAAAGAAAAATCGGAAATCGACGAGTCGAACGTTAATTTTTCGCAGAGTCGAGATTTGTGGCAGAGGAGGGCTAATATTGAAGCAGCATCCTCGCCTCTAATCAAAGCCCAAAGACTGTCAGAACCTTTTGTTCACAGACAAAGCCACACTCCGGACCTGGTCATGGACTTACCACTAGCCAGTTCAGTGTCAGTTTTTTCAAATTTGTGCCTGAACAGCTCGCCTGAAGACACGAACAATGTAGAAAAGCCTCCGCAAGAAGTCGAAAGCCCCGAAATGACCACAGCAGCCGAAACATTCGCCAAACAAAACCAATGTACTTTAAAAAAGAATACGAAAATTCTGCTGGACGACGAATTCATGACCATCACTAGCCCAGTGCCAAACAGGAAGTACGCAACGCTCGGCGCAGCGACTTCGACCTCTACTTTTAAGCCCCCTACAAAAGCCAAACCCATGGTGCTCAAAAAACCTGTATTTTCCGTACCTTTACGATCAGTGTCCATAGAAATGGTTTGTAACAAGGAATCGGAACTTCCTCCGTAAACGAAACTTGCTCACGTTTCTAACTGGAGAATGAGATTCATATTTTTTATAAAGTTTACTTAAAAACCATGTTTGTTTTGCAAATCCTTGTGTACTCATCTTTAAAATAATTTGATTTTCGAACGACAACATCGACTGACCATGCTTAGGGTGCAATAGATTTATGCAACTTAGATCTGGCTACATTGTAGGAATGAGTCAAATAAAAACAGAACAAATTTATCCAGTCTGTTAAGTTTTTTAATTATTCGTCTATTTTATTAGGCCAAGAAACTTAACAAACAGGCTTTGTGAAATATATATTTTTTATAGTTACTGTTAATATATGTGTTTTTTTAATCTTATACAGTACCATTCAAAAATGGGAAACAATTTTACCTTCTCATATTGACACTTCAATAAGTCTTTGAATTAAATATAGATAAGATACAGCATGCCTGGCTTGGACAATGCCCGAAATACTTTTGCGAAAGGTGTGTTTATTACGCAGACAGTGCTGGGAGCGATGTATCTTTTAGTATATTTAATGCAAACTTCAAATACTAAAATTAACAAAACAAAAACAGAATACAATAATGTATGTGATATTTAGTCGAGCCCTTTTAAGAATCTATATTTTAAAAATAAAAAAATCACTTTTATTATTGTTTTCTTCTTTATGGTACTGTATTTTTCGTTTCTGTTTCTATAATGACCTATAGATAAACAGTATGTCCATTTATTCATTTATTATTATACAAAAACAATATATTGAAGATTTCAGGAGCTGATAAGACTGCAGTAGTTTGTAGTGGAAGTTTAGTAGCGACGAAAGTTAGGACTTATTATTTTTAAAGCGTACAGCTCAAAGGAGTAAATGTTAATTTGTTTTAGAATTTTCAGGTGGTATATATATTTTTTTTATTCGAAATATTTATTAGCCGTGGCATTTTTAAGTTTTTGACTTTGTCTGTTGAATGAGATACGCGTGGCCTACTGGATTATACGTAAGCCATTGTAAATAGTTTTATGTTGTGTAGTGTACACACTATATTTTTTATATTAAGTCGTTTTAAATAAGGAATTATTATAGCTTGGCATTTTTCGATTAAGTTTTCATGAGCAACCACATATAATATACAGTTCAACTTTATGCTGTATTAAAGGAATTCGTATTGACAATTTGCAGTATTCTTACTATATGAAGGCTAAAATTTATGTATGGCCTAGAAGGTGATTCTTTTTTACAAATACCATATACCATACCCAATTCATATTCTCTATAACTCTTTGTGTATTGGATTTATAATAAATCCAGTTTCTGCAATATTATAGTTGTTTTATTTAAAATACCATCCAAAACTCTTTAAATATCCTTACAATTCTAAACCAAAGTTATCTCGTCAAGATACTTGTTTTATGCAACAACAATGTACAATGTTTAAATATTTATTTAATTTTCGTGCTGTTGATTTTCCTAAATACCTACATTTTAATCTCTGAAACGGCATACTAGCGTAAGGTTTCATTTCTACTTCATTGGTTTCTTCATATTCGGTTACCTTGTTATATTCTATTTCATTTTTCTCATTGTTAAAATACAATAAAATATGTCCCTTCATTAACAATATATTTTATTGAAGGTGCATATTATTTTTAAAAAATGTCTAATGAACGAACAAGACTTCTACAACCCAGTCAAAATCAGTACATTTTGCAATCTAATGTAATTAAAGAAAGAACGCGTAGAGTCGAACAATTTCAGTGTTGTATATGTACTAGCTTCATGTAAGTACTTAAATAAGTTGTTTAATTTGTATAAAAATTTTCTTTTAATATTGTAGCATAATAATTATTACAGCTTTAGTAGTAGCTGTTTCTTATATCAATTTATCTCCAGAGGAGTCAAATGAAACCCTTTCAAACGATAATTCAAATATATCTACTAATAATTCTATACCTTCAGATCTTTTCTTAAAACTATTTGAAGTGTTACCCTGGCCAATTGAGGATAACTCAGAGCCAGCAAAATTTATACTACACAGTGATTTAAATGAATCTATATCAGAAGGTCAGAAATATTTACAAGAAAAGGACGCTTCTGAAGAATATAATTCTCCTCTGAAGTTGAACAGTCCCAGTTTTAAACATCAAAAAGTAATGGCAACTAATGAGAAAGCTAGAAATTTTTCTCGCAAAGCTTATGAATTTGAAGGTGCCACAAGATATTTTTACAAGTAAAATCATTTATTGGTATTTAAATAGCACAGAAATATTATAAAGATTTGTTTCAGCACACATTACAATCCTAGTTCCATTAATAAAATTTGTTTCACTAATATAACTGATCCGATGTTGTTGGATTTATGTTTCGTTACAATCAGCTGCAATATTTTTCATAAGTATCGTTCTTATAATGGTTCGTGCAATAATTTAAACCATCCTACGACATTTGGAGTGGCTTACAGACCTTTTCGAAGATCCTTACCTCCTGATTATGCCGACGGTGACTTATTGTGAAAAAATTTACTGTAAAGTATTTCATTAGTTTTCTTTAGGTATCAGTAAACCACGTAGATCTAAGACTGGGGAAAGCCTACCTTCTGCGCGAACTGTCAGTTTAGAAGTCCACAGGCCTTATTACAGAGACGATTCCAAATTTTCTGTAATGTTAGCAGTGTGGGGCCAGTTTTTAGATCACGACATAACTGCCACAGCTTTGAACCAGAAGAAAAACGGTGAAAGTATTTCCTGTTGTCAAAATAATACTTTGCCTTCTGAGTGTTTTCCTGTTGTTCTACCTAAAGATGACCCTTATTCCAAACATAATGTCTCTTGTATGGAGTTTGTAAGGTCTGCCCCAGCACCCACGTGTTGTTTAGGTATATTTAATAAGAAATATTAATAACATATTAATATTAAACTATTATTTATAATGTAAGGTGCAAGGGAGCAAATGAATCAAGCCACAGCTTTTATTGATGGTTCGGTAGTTTACGGTATTGATGATAGCGCTGTATATTCCTTAAGGTCTATGAAAAACGGACTTTTAAAAATGTATATTACCAAGGAAAATAGGAGCTTACTTCCTGTGTCTGAAGACATGAATGACGGATGTAATAGGGAGGAAGAAAAACTTAAAGGAAGATATTGCTTTTTGTCGGGTGATTTTTTATTAAATACTATTTGATTTTTTTTTAATGCGGTTGTGTTATAGGAGATTCTAGAGCAAATGAAAATTTGCACTTAACTAGTATGCATCTGATATGGGCGAGACAACATAACAATTTGGCTAGTCAATTACTTATTATAAATCCTCATTGGAGCGACGAGGTGATTTTTCAAGAATCTAGACGCATCTTGGGAGCGCAGATGCAGCATATAACTTATAATGAATTTTTACCTATCCTTTTAGGTCGGAAAAAAACACAAAATAAAAAATATATTTACTTAAACTATATATTAACTTTTTAGGAGAAAATGTTATGTATAAATACCAGTTATCCCCTGAAAAATACGGATACTCTTATAAGTATAATCCTACGATGGATCCAACTATAGCAAATGTTTTTTCCACATCCGCTTTCCGTTTTGCTCATTCCTTAATACCGACTTTAGTAAAACTATTAGAAAATAAAACGTCAACTCCCGAATATGTTCGAATGCATAAAATGCTTTTTGATCCCTTCAAATTGTACGAAGATGGTGAGCTAAACAAAGCACTGAAAGGGGCGATGTATACTAATATTGAAGCATCTGATCCTTATTTTTCTAACGAAGTCAAGTCTCACTTATTTGAAGAAGCTAGAAGTAATACAAGCCATGTATGTGGATTAGATTTGGTTTCTCTGAATATACAAAGGGGTAGAGATCATGCGTTGCCTGGGTATATTTTTTGGAGAGAGCACTGCGGCTTAATGAAAACCAGAAGTTTTGATGACTTGCAAGGTGTTATGGAATCATCGGCTTTACAGAGTATTAGAGCTATTTACAAGTATGGTTCAGTATTGTCATTTTACCTAAAATTTTACCTCAACCCATATATTTTCAGAAATGTTGAAGATATCGACGTATATACTGGGGCTTTGAGCGAAAAACCTATTAGAGGAACTATTTTAGGCCCAACTTTTACTTGTTTAATACTGGATCAATTTATAAGACTTAAATTTGGGGATAGATATTGGTATGAAAATGCTAAAATGCCGCAAGGATTTTCCATAAACCAGTTAAACGAAATTCGAAAGACTACTTTAGCTGGAATAATCTGCGATAATGCAGATAATTTAACGACAATTCTCCCTTTTGTCATGAAAAAAACAACGAAAAATAATATGGAAATAGCTTGTAATAGAGTACCAAAACCAAATTTACTTCTGTGGAAAGAACAATTTACACAAATAAATATGTATAAACAGCCTATTTCTAATTATGTAAAGAACTAAGCTTGTATTTGTTAATATTATATACAGGACACACTTTAATAAATAGCTGTTATTGAAAATAATTTTTTAATACCATGATTTAATTTTAATATTGTTTAATATACCTATAGAGCGTATGTTTGGTTGCTTAACGGTTCACTCATATGTTCAGCATTGGTTCAGTCCTTAGATTGTTCAGTCCACGTTCAGTCTGTATTTTTACAGAAGAAAACTTTATAAATATATGAGGGGAAACCATGGAAGATGGAAACCATATGGAAACTATGGAAACCCATAGCCAAATCCCATAGCCATAGTTTTTTCATTATGGTTGGTAACATATGCAGTTAATACGGTTGGTAGTATTCACATGTCAGGTCGGCCATCTTGTATCAATAAATAATAAATGGCTTTTTGTTTTGTGTTTTGTGATTGAATAAAATAATTGTTTAATATAAAAGAAACAATATTTGAAAAACGAAAATTATGATAAAGCATAAACTGTCATGTTCAAGACGTAAGTAGTATTATATTATATCAAAAATTAGTATAGAATTTGTAAAAAGATGTCTGATGTTTTGTTTATTTTTAACACAACTAATAATTAGGAATAATGCATTTTTGTTATAGTTGTGTTACTAACAAAAACTAATAGTTCTTTTAAAAAACTTTGATCAGATGATCAATCAAATAGATCTTTCTAATATACGCCTACATGCTATGATCACCTACCTACTTAAACAAGTGGGATTAGGTTAGGTGTATAATAAACTAAAGAATTGTTTATGGAAATATTATTGTTAGACGCAATTTTTTAGCTCACCATTAAAAAGGAAAAGGCAAAGTTTGTTAAATATGGAAACTTTTGATAATGTTTTATTAAATGCTTCAGAATTTATCAAAGGTGAGTACATAGATTATAATATATTGTTATTTAATTATTAGCTAAATATTTCTGAGAATTATAAGTTTCTATTATGACCATGAATGAAACTGCAAATTAGTTATTCAGTTTAGTAATTATAATTCTGAATAATTTGTATGCCAACATTTATTACAAAAATTATTGTTAATATTTCTATTTTAGGTCGTCTGTTTTTTGTATCTGTAAATACAAATATCAAGCCAAAATCGACTCTATCAGTGCATTATTTCTCGATAGACAATGAGCTCTGTTATGAAAGTTTTTATTTGGATTTTGGCCCTCTTAATTTAGCCATGCTTTATCATTATTGTGTTAAACTGAGACGGAAACTTAATAACCCGGCATTTTTAAATAAGAAAATTGTGCACTGTACTGGATCAGATGTCCACAAAAGGGTCAATGCTGCATATTTAATTGGAGCATATTCTGTATGATTTTTGAAGCATTTTACCTTTAGTAACTAACTATAAAATATTTTTTCTAGATAATTTATTTGAATTATGATCCAGAAAAAGCCTATGAAGTTCTAAATCATGATTCTACAAGGGATTATATGGAATTCCGTGATGCTTCTAAAACTGAAGCATTATATACTCTTTCTCTATTGGAATGTTTAAGAGCTATTAAAAAAGCTCTTACTTATGGCTTCTTCAATTTTGAAAACTTTGACTTTCTTGAATATGAACACTATGAAAGAGTTGAAAATGGTGACTTTAACTGGATTGTACCTAACAAGTTTATAGCTTTCTGTGGACCTCAGAACAGATCTAGGATTTCCAATTTTGGCTATCCCGTACATTCCCCAGAGACATACTTTGCCTATTTCAGAAGGCATAAAGTCCGTACAGTTATACGTTTAAATAAGAAGGCCTATGATGCAAACAAATTTATCCAAGCAGGGTTTGATCATAGAGATTTGTATTTTGTTGATGGGGGAATCCCTAATGATAGAATATTGCATCAGTTTTTATATGTTTGTGAAAATTCTATTGGTGCTATTGCTGTACATTGTAAAGGTATTTATTTAGAATATTGAAAGTGTTTGTTGTTTTATTATATATTGTACTTGTAGCTGGTCTGGGAAGAACTGGGTCTTTAATTGCTTGCTATATTATGAAACACTGGAAATTTACTGCAGAAGAGGCAATTGCCTGGATCAGAATATGTAGGCCTGGATCAATTATTGGACACCAACAAGTTTGGCTGCAAGAGTAAGTTCTTTATCTTTTTTATGAATATTTTTAAATATATTCTAAAATGGAAAAATTATAGGAAACAGAAACAAATGTGGGAAGCAGGGGAGTTGTATAGAAAAGTAAATTATATGTCAGAACCAGAAAAATGTCCAGTCGGCATATATTGCCTCTCGGAGCTGAAAAGAAAAAAGAGCCAGGATAATGTAACAGGAATAGTGAGGAAAGTTGATTGCATGGAAATCAATGATCCCACAGACCATCCGGAATTTGAGGAAACTAAAGAGACACAAGGAGACAAACTGAATGAAATCAAAGCTCAAAGGAGCAGGCTTAAATTAAACAGACCTGTTCTGTAAGTTGTAAATTATATATGACTGAAGTGATGTTATATAATTTTTATTTTTTTATTAGACCTGACAGAGAGAAAATGCGTCGTGTCCACGTGACAACAACCACAACAACAACTAACAACCAAACCGTACTAAAAGGCGGAAAAATGGTCAATGCAGCCACTAGAATCACTGGATCTAGTAGTAGCCGTGTGGTGACCAAAAGGTTGGTTTAGCCAGTCATTTTTTGCTTTAGTCATACTACTTTAGGCATGGCTTGCAGAGAAGTTTTTTTTATTTTTTTTTGTTTTTTGCATGTGTCTAATTCTGTTGCAGTTTATTAGAGTGCATTTAATCAGTACCTGCATTCAATAAATGCACCCTAAAAAATGCATCAGAGCTATTTTTTGTAGCTGTGTTTAGTATTTTAATTGTAGATATTTGCAGATAGTTTTATCCTAGTTTTTAGGCTTTCTGAAAGCATTCATAATTTTCTTCTTTTTTTTAAGAAAAAATCGATGTTTAAATTTAGGTGTCTTAAAAAGAAACTAAATTTTCATAGTCAAATTTTTCAATGAATTTACTGCCTTGAATAAAAATTTTAATGCCTTAAGTTACTTAAAGGCAAAATTTAGTCATTGTTAAATTTAAAAATCTAAATTCTAGTGCTTAGATATTAAGTACATTTTTAGATAGTAAGGAATTTAGTTCAAAACTCCAAAATTTTTTGGAATTTCCCAGGTTAATATTGTATGCCTCCCCATTAAGAAATCTTTGGGTTGGGTTATATGTGTACCTTTTTTCATTACGTTAATGTTTATTTTGTAGTAAAAAATATGTACTGAGAAGCATAACCCTGAACTTATTAATGCTTTAATTTTATTTGTCTTCATACTTCAGCTTTATGCGTCGCGTTTTAATTTTTGCTTCTAGGCAATAAAATTGCAAATTCAAAAAAATAATTGAAATTTTGACAAACCTCAATATATGGTACTCTCCTTAGTATATTCTGTTTCTTAGTATTAATTGAATATTTCGTCTTGATTTCTTGATTCATGTTGTGACTGTATATACTGAGGTTGTAGAGCTAATCATGGTCTTGTTATATTAGCATAGGACTGGAAATTATCGCATGCTACTGTGGCTTGGTTTAAGTGGTTGGTTGATGTTTCCGTTATTGCACACAGGTTAAGATGCACGCGTCGTTTTGTCTCTTCACATTCTATCCAATTTGCGTTTGTTAACAGAATCGAGGTGAAAGACACCCCAGTGAGGAAATTCACCACTACAAGAAAACTGACTGCGCCAATCATATCGACCAATTTGCAACTAAACGACAAGCGACCCACAAAAATAATTAATATAAATCGGTATAACGGCTTTCTTAAAAACGGTTACTCGTTGAAAATCGACGACAAACAGAACGTGAAACGTGTGAAGCGGGCCTTAATTTTAGAGAAGGATAAGTTGACCAGTCCGAGATCCGTCAAAGTTTTCCGCCGATCTGACGTGCTAGCTTTGAGCTTCAAAGAGACCACCGCTTGTGACACAACACCCGCAAATAACTGTTTATCTTCGGCGAAGATAAATAAGACCATATGAGTTTCGGCCCCACAAAATGATCATTATTATTCAATGCCTAGATTTACACCGAGTAGAAGAGTTGTTACGATCGGAAATAGAAGAACCGTTTATTTTGATCCAGCTGTTTTGATGAAAGGAAATATAGTCCACTAATAACCACCACCTAAATGAAACTAGCTGAAAATGTTGATTGTAAATAAATACAATTAAGCAGGCATTGAGCTATGAGTACTGATTTAAAATTGATATAGAATTGTGATACCAGAGCCTACTTAATTTTCTTTATCTATAACCATACGGTATTTCCCAACATATCACCGTATATTTTACAGTACTGTCAATTGGTATTTTTTGAATAAGAATGTATTGTATTCAGTCTTATTCTTCGTGTTATTACCGGACATGGTATATGAGTTGCCTTATTTTTATTCTTAAGGCTATATTCACAGACTGAAAATTATGTTTACTTGAATCATATAGATATATATTTCTTTATATGTTTGTAGAAGTGCATAAAGCTCGTGGTATATTATTAGTATTATTTATTTTTATAGTTCTTTATATTTTATTAACATACGTATATATGATTGATATACACCAGGTGCTTAGATATACATCCTCTCATATACTTATTTGCAACTATATTTTATCTATTTACCTTGATGAAATAATATCACAGATTAGGTATCCTATAAGTATACAGATAAAAATCTTGTCCCTAATTCGTGGTAGGAAAATTGTTTTTTATGACGATGTGCAAACGAGTCAAATTTCCTGTGCGCAAAAATAAACTCGCGTAAAATAGCAGTAAACAGAGTAATAGAGAGATATCGCTAAACCGAATAGCGTGCATGGACGTTAATATAATATATATAATAAGTAAAAGGCCAGGTGTTATTTCCTTTACGTGAGGTGGTATTAACTGTCTTCATTTATAGTTATCGTTATTCATATATATTATCGGAAAGAATTCTGACCGCGTCGCGTCCACTATTTAAACTTAACTTTGAATTTAAAACTTTGAAATTGTTTTGTTTACTAGGTATTTTAAAACTAAAGGGCTAAAGTGCTTATTTCCAGTGCTTTATTGTTCAACGTCTGCCAATAGGTTTAGGACAACAAGCAACAAATTCTCTTAGAAGAGCTAAGTCGTCATCTGCTGTAAACCTAAGACTTTTTATAGGTTCTTTAGTATTGGAAGAGGTGGAATCCATATTTTGGGACATATTTATTTAATTAAAACTAATCCCAGCTACTTAAATATCAAAAATTACCTAATAAAACTAAAGCAATAATTCAAAACAATTCAAACATAACCTAAAATAAAAGATCTCGCCGGCCGGCTCCGATTGTCAAATATCCGCATATGCCCATTTAAGCAATTTTTAAACGTTATCAGAGGTTATTTAGAAAGAGCGCTTGGTGTAATTGATCCGCAAATTACGTCAGGCGGTAACGTTATTAGCGGGTGTTGCGTTGACTCTCGCATATCGTAACCATGATAAGGTACGCGTAAATACTGGATGACGCTATTCGGTTTTCCGATATCTCTCTAATAACTGTGCCGGTCAGGCGCTGTGCACAATTTTACAGGCCATAAGTGGGCGTGCTATGTGCGCAAACTAGTCACCTAACTAGTGCCCGATTCCGAAAATTGGAACCACGAAAAACAATAAAGAAAAAACAAAGATTATAATCTGTGATAATATTTTCAAGTTGTCAAGAGTCAAGAGGTTAAGAAGTTTAAATTTTTTGCTGAAAATAACAAATTCACAGATTGATTTTTTTATCGTTATTACATTTTTAAATACTTTTTAAACTGAAGTTACTAATTGTATAATCAAGCATAAAAGATGTAGTTTTCTAGAAAAATATTGCCTGGGTAATATACTTAATATAGATCTGATGTGGAAATCTACAATTTCTGTTTTTGTCTCTAAGATACACCAGTGTTATATGGTTTATGTTTGATGATGAAAGCCAAGTATATCTTATAATGCAAAATATAATATCTTCATGAGGTGTTATAATTAATATTTATCTTGCCATTATATTTTGCTGATCAATACTATAACTTTATTTTGAAGAGATACCTTGAAAAATCGTAAAGTCTTCTATTTGACAAAGCGAGTATTTAAAAGTATGATTTTATTGATAAACTGTATGTAATATATTTATATAATCTCAAATAGTCCGGTTAAACTTATTTAAACCAAGGTCTTTAAAATAACTTTGAAGAAGTCCTTAAAAAAAATCACTAAAAAATTCAAAGTACATCATATAATGGAATTTTCTAGTGGTTACACTTGAAGTTATTATTGTTTCTCAACGTGCATACGTTACATACTCATAATATAGTAGTCAATTACAATAAATAAATATAAATTTTATTAATTAGTTTAAATTAGATATGCGTTGCTTTCAAATAACAATAACGTGACCAAAATCCGAATAATTTAGTAATTAATTTTTTTCTTTGTTTAGTTTATACACCATTTTTAGCTATATTTTTTGTATCATGAATAATTTTTTGTCAGTCAGTTTCTGTGTATATAGTTATTGAAAAAAATAATTCTTTATGTGAAGAACTATTACTCTATATATATACATGTGTTAATTAAAATTTAAAAAATATATATATTTGTTAATTTCAGTATGCCAAATACATATACAAAAAATACATATTTATCTTTCGTTGTTTGTAGCTATCTGTATATAAGCTATTTTGGTCAGAATTACTCTTCTTTCCATTAAAATACGCCTCCTTAAGCAGTATAGTTATAATTTATTAGAAATATATCTAACAAATGTATTACACTATACAGGGTGTCTCAGAAATAAGTGCAAGTATTTTAACTCGTAGTATAGTTTGACCCCAGAAACACTTCCATGAGGTTTTTATGCAAAAAAAATGTTGAAAGTATTCAAAAAAGTGGAAACCAACGCAATCAAAACTCTTTCGTGTAACTTCGTGTCTATTGATAGTCAGACCTCATGCGCAAAATAGCAGCTATGGGTAGGAATTATTCCTCCGGCGACCACCTACATAATATCCTGGCAAAGTCTATATATTTTGATCCGGGTAATTGTGGCTGATAACCGATTGTAGCCAGCGGTTTTTTAATTTATTTTAAAAATGGTAAATAAAAAAGATGCTTCTTTTGACTACTACTGATCTTCCCACTCTTAAAATACTTGCACTTATTTGTGAGACACCCTGTATATACTCGTAAGAATTTGATATAGATGTGCTAGCTGGAGGTGTTGTGACCAAAATACGTCTTATATTTGGTAGAATATTGTGCTTTTTGAAAACACTTAAATTTAACAGTATAAATCTACTTATTACATGGTACAATTTATTGTATAATTTATGTTTGCGAATGTCTATGTGTAAATAATATATCATTGTATTTTTGTTTAAACTATTTTTATTTAAGATCAAAATGCTATAAGCTTTAGTTAATAAGGTAATCTGAGTAGTACCTTAGCGGTGGGATGATTCGATTATTCTTCACCGCAATTCAGCCATTTATATGCATAACTCTTAGTTACTTTTTAGTGAACCATATTTAGTATGTAAGGATAATACTACGCGTCAAAACATTTTCGTGTGAATTTTTCCGCAAAGGAAGGGCTATTTTTTATATGTGCATCATTTGTTTAAATGATATTTTTGATAAGTATTACTTGGACTCAAAGATTGTTAATAAATTTTTACCAAGGGCAATTTTTGGCTAAAATATTGACAAAATAACCAATGCAAACATATAAACAGAAACCCTTCAGATATGAGCTTTTTATGTAACTATTAAAAATGTAATTTGGTGTGCTAATAACTGAAATAAGATCTATTCATGTTAACAGTTGTTGTTTTCATAAGTTTATAAATTAGAAACTCGTTTAATTCCGTTAGATCATATATGTTGACACCTTTACACCTTCCATTGGATCATATTTTTAATAAATGTTTTCCATAAAACAATACAAGAGATTTGTTATTTTCCCTCGCATTCGACAGATCCTTATAAATTCCATTGAGCAAAATAAAACACGGAACACTGAGCAGATTTAACAATAAGAATCTTGGAGAAGAAAGATCTTATCCTGAGAATTTTAGAACATTTTTTTGTAAGTCCAACGTAAAGAACAGGAATATTTTCACAGGACTATTCAATTGATTTCTAATCACACAGAAAACCTTATCAAAGAAGATTTAGTAACAGAATCGATTTTTGAAGAATTTGAAATGCTTTTATCGCCTTCATTAATGGACTGACAGATTAAGTGTTTGAAGTAGAAGAAAAGTTATAAGCCACGAAACTCCTATAAAATAATCAAAAAGGATTAGAATTGAAGTAATTATAATGCTCTAAATTGGAAGTGTTTTATTGTCTATAAAAATAAAGGGAATGTATTATAATTTGTACTTAAAATGTACGGTCATTTTTGAAATAAAAATAAATTTACAAAGGCTTATAAAGCTTTAGTAAGCGAGACATCCATCAATTTTAATACTATAAATTTCGTTTAGTGACTAGACGTTTTCTCAATGACCAACGAACATAAAAATTACAGATAAATACTATGTTATAATAATACTAGTTATGTATATGAAATATAAAATCTTCATTAATTTTTTCCCTTATCAGGGCGGCTTAGTCTAAATTTAAATTTTATAAAGATCACAATAGTTAGGGATATCTGAAACTGTCTTCTTCCTCAAACGGTTGTTCGCGTAACAAACCTTCTTGATCCTCATCCAAATGCCTTTGAGGAAATGTTAAACCATCTCCCAAACTGCGTAAAACAAAATACAATAAGATTTTTTTTCTCTATTTGGCTAATTTTGCCTAGTAAGCTAACTATCTTTTCTATGGCATCTCCAAAAGTAACAAAATTAAATATATACCACTTTCCAATTGAGCCTTTTTTTAAGAAATTTCATTGCTAAAGCCCCGTCTACATTGTTTTACCTGTCAGGTAAGCCGACATAAAAACTAGCATACGCACTGGAAGTTTTACCTGTCAATTATAGTATATATATATATAGTATATATATAGTATATAGTGTTTGGTGAAGTTGAAAAGAAAAAACATGAAATTTTACTACAAAATTGTATTTATGGTTTAAATTTCCATTTGGTGACAATCACTAAATATCTCCTAAATAATTTTGTAAAATTACATTATTTTGTGAAACTATGCAAAAACATTATATTTTAAGTCGGTTATTAAATATCCAAATTATATTTTTGTAAATTTATGTTTTTTTTTCAATGTGGGCAAAAGGATAGTTTTCTTGTAAAACTGAATGATTCCGTCAGTTCTCTAGAATGGTCTTCTGTCAATTCAGTTCAAGTAAAACGGACAGTTTTTTATTCTACACACAAGGTTTTACTTAATACGTTTTGACTGAACGGGTAGAACGTTTTGTAGACAGGGGCTTAAAATGGAAGGCTGTATACAATACTTTACTTGAAATTTTTCTACCAGGCAATTGTAATCAGACTGTGTGTATCAGAAAAGCATGTAGTTAGTTAGGGTCAAGCAACTTAAGGTTGTTAATTTAAACGTGTAAGGTCAAACAAATCATAAACAAAAAATTAAATCAAGTGAAAAACATTTATTTAGAAAATTAACAATAATCGTATTAAGTACTATAAATGTTTTATTTAATGTATAGATATTTCAGTATGGTCTGGATTCAGTTTGCTCGTCTCATTTTCTAGGCACCGGCGTCTGCTTAGGAAAAAATCCTCTTTTTATTATATATTTTTGGACGGCGTTAAAGCTTTCAGTCATGCACTACTGTCAAAACAAATCAACACCCAATACCTACTGTTGTGCTCATCTTCTCACAATTTATTATTTAAAAAAAACGTTTCGTTATGTTAGTATCTAAAAAAGTCTATGTATTGATTAACAACGTTGCATAAAACATTCAAGCGTTTTTATAAAAAAAATATTTCGCTAAAAGCATTTTATGCAAAAAAACTGTGATTGTGCTATTTGTAGTCTTTCAAAAACTTTTGGCTAATACAAAATCTTACTGATAAATAAAAGCTTTAAAATTCCGTATTGACAGAATTATTTAATAATTTATTATAATTAAAATCTTAATTTACAGAACAGGCAGATTTGATTTTAACATATTTATTTTTTTTAATTTAAGAAAGCTAGAACATTCTTTAAACAAATTAAAGGGTATTAAATCAACTTTTAATACATAACCAAAAATATCAATAACTGTGACAAAATATCTATAAATGTGACATTTGAGTTCAAAACTTGACTCAACTAGGGTTCCCAACCGTCCCGGTTTGGCCGGGATTAACTAGGAATCAGAAAGTTTGTCCCGGCGAAAGTTTTGCCTGGACACTAAAAAAGGGTATACTACACACATAATATATTTTAATTTCTAATATTCACTGTTTTGTTTCAATTATTTAAAAGCTTAAAAATAATTGTCCCGGAATCGCCGATGCTCAAGTTGGGAACCCTAGACTCAACACACCTTTTTTAATGAATGTTCTAGCTTAAAAGATAAAAAAGTTAAAAGCTTTTTAAATATGAGACAAATTAAAATACCAACATTCTGCCAGTTCTATAAACTTTAATTTAATGTTAATTTTCCTAAACCAACACACATTATAATTAGTAAGTACAAAAGATAGATTTTACAGCCATAGTGATTATATTTTAATAAATAAGTAAAAAATTAATTTGCACAACTAGTGAGCAATAGGCAAATTCAAATGATCTAACCTGTTTTGAATGCTGTCCATAGAATGGTAAGAGCTCTGTTGGTGCCTTGAATGTATAGGGTATTGAATACCATCACCCAAACTAGAAAAGTATTTTATTTAAAAATTAGCTTTGAATTGCAAGTAAATCCATACACCAATTTGTCTTTAGTTTAAATTAACAAACTTTAAATAATTGACCCAACTGTTGTCATGTACACAATTGTAGGTAAGAGTTAGGAAAAATTATTAAACACAAAAAAAACGTACCTGGTGCTGATGGGAAGGAACCATAATTTGGGATCTTCTCCAAATACCTCTTTAAAATTCCTGTAACGTCCTAAATGGAAGCCATATTTATCAGCACCCACTCCTCTAAAGCTGGGAGGTCTGAAGGCTTCTAAATAACATTAACCATTAGATTATTATATGAATATTAGTGATTAATAAATAGAATTAAAAATCAACATACCAAGCGTAGTTCTATTTTCCAAGACCAAGTAACAGTGGTATCCGAACAAGGACATTAAACTAATTCCAAACATCACCGCAACAAAGAAGAGAAACAAAATATGGAACCTACTCATTCCTTGCAAATTTCCCTAAAATGATTGATAGTTCGGATATTAAGATAAAAATTTAATGAATATGAAAGCATATTTACCCTCCAGAATGCAATAAAATAAGGCAGAGATGTCAAGCAAATATATATACAATAAATTAATGCATATCCAAGGAATAATATAAAGAATTTGTAGTTTGTAAAACAAACACAATTGTTTATCCATGGACAGTGGTGGTCCATTTTTAATACACATTCACCACATACAGAGCAATGATGCGTCCTGTCTGGTTTAACAGTTTTACATTTGTCACAGAACCTTACACTTCCTCCAATGGTTACATTAGTTATAGGTAAATTTTTTGCACAGTTGTCCAATATTCTGTTTTGCATTTCAAGGGAATCACTGTGGTTTATGTATTCTTCAAAATCTGTGTCATTTATTTTAAACTAGAAAACAGCATTTAGAGTATTTATGTTGATAAGCCTCACGCACTTACATTATTAGGAACCTTTCCAATATCGGTAAAAATTGCTTGAACATAAGACCAACAAAACATGAAGAAAAACAAATGATAAAATATAAGATATACTATCTGGCCTAGTGTATTTTCAACTGTAACTGAAAAGAAAGATATATATTAAAATTATAGTGAAGTGAGATTAGTTTAAAGCCATTGAGAACAAGCGACATACTTAAACATAACTGGACAACATATGCATAATACGACCAAGCAACAATTGTAACAAGAAATAAAACTGGTATCCATTTAACAGCTTTTAAACACCAGAAGCAGGGCCCTTTGTGTTCGGTCCCGCTAATAGCCATAACGACAAGATTTTAACCCTGTCTCAGTCTCATTTCAAAAATACACATAAGTTAGTAATATAGGGTGGGGTTTTAAATAGAATATTAACCTAAAAAATAATAAAACATTTCTTAATGCTGGTAAACATTTTACATACTTGTTGTTTTCTTACTGAAAACTATTCTGGGCATTTTTTAAATAATAATAATTATAAACTTCTCTACACTTTCGAGCAATGGATGTTTCGATTGTTTAGTAACTTTAACTTTAAGATATTTGATACTTTTATTGGCACTACTTTTAGGATATGACAGATCAATGCCGTCTCTAATACTGGACTAGGGATGTTCGATTTAAATCGATTCTTCAGAAAATCGATCTTTTGACATGCGATTCCGATTTTTTGAATCTATCCAAAACAGATTTTTTATAGAATCGATTCATTTAGACCGAGATCGAATCGTCATGCAACCATCAAATTTTATGCTCAATTTCAGAGGATATCATATAAAAAGAAATTAATCTACACCATCTGCACTTAACCGGGGTAATCCGCCGTGGTTTCGTGTCAATCGAAAACACCTTTTTTCTAAGCCTTTTTTAAATTCATTTTCAGGACGTTGTTGGATGGCGCTCGAGCGTTGTTCTCTACCTTCTCTACACAGGTTCTCTATTACGCCAGTAAAAGCGTGCTGTGTATTTCTATCCTTTAATAATAATTAGTTTCTGAACAAAGAGGGAATAAACATGCTCAGTGCGAACTGACTATACTAATCCAAAAAATGGAATTATATAAATCTGTGATTATATCAGGGTTGCCACAAGAAAATTTTTGATTGTGCAGAACTTGACCTTAAAAATGTGTAGCATTGTGTAGCAATCCATGACCAATAATTGTAAACTATCCAATAAGACCAAGAATAAGACGTAAAATCGCCAAATTTTAAAGCATAAATAAGAATCTCGATAAGAGTCTCACTTCCACTCGTTTGTATACGTCAATATATTCATTTTCCATTTCATTTCTTCTCATGCCAGCAAATATTGCAATGACGTCAAAATTGATGTCGCGAAACTAACGATTTTATGGAAAAATTAGACCGGTTATGAAGTCTGTTTAAAAACTGTAAACAATTCAGGACTGTTTAATCGGCCAAATTTGTCCATAGAAACTTCAATTCTTTGCTGATATGGGAGGAAAAGTGAAATAGGAATTGAATATTATTCACGTATGCTAACGAGTGGACCGAACTACAGTGAAATTTGGCCTCTGAATTTGGCCAAAGTACGTGTTATGTATTTTTAAGGAATTAAGCAATCCTGTCTATTTACCGTTTTTGACTCGACCAATAGATGACCGAAAATGATATTTGTCAGTTCAAAATTTAAAGTTCACTTGCTTTAATGTAACTTAGATAACTTAAAAGCAAAAAAAAACAGCTTTTGTCAGCTGATTTACTGTTCTGGTATTATTTTTTATAATAAATATGTAAATTCTCAAAATGTGTAGCACAGGCCATTGTGGTGTAGCCACAAAATATACACCATGTAGCTGTGCAGTCATGGAAGCAAATGTGTAGCAAAATACACAATTGTGTAGCTTGTGGCAACCCTGGATTATATATTTTTATATTTGACGTTTGACGATGATTGACATTTTCTTGAAATCCTGAAATCGTTGTTTGTCAAGTAATAAACATGTCAAGTTTTTCTTTATTTTGTTTTATGTTTTGTGTCTTTATATGTAAAAAAGTCATAAAAAATGGAAATATATATTTTTAAGGTAATGGTGTGGATCCGGTGGCTGACCTTGAAACGAGTTTTTGCTGCATATAGTCACAGACACTACGTATGCGCACATCTTCGATGTTGCCAGATTGCAAGTTATTTTGGAATTATTTTCAGTAGAAATCAAATATGTGCTTTTCTGTGTTTTTTTTGTCAATATATACAGTATGATCGAAAAATCGGCGTCCAGTTGGCTGGGAAATGACGATTGAGGACATTTCCCATATAAAATATCAGCGATCTTCATTTCATAGTTATCGCTGACGCTATTTTTTTCAATCATAGTACGCGGTATATTATTTATATTATTATTTTAATATTTCGCACAACACATGAAACGTGAACGCTTATTATGTATTTTTATAGTCAATAAAATTAAATAGAAATAAAATTCTAGATTCCTATAATTAATCTAATTGCTCTACATTATTATGCTATACGCAACTATACGTTTAAAAAGTGCTTTATTAAAAATTCGGTAAATATTAAAAGGGATGTGTCCAAGTTTTTTTTTATTTTTAAATGCTGTAGCTCCATGTCATGTTCATAATAGGTTTTTTTTAACATTCCATCAAAACTATGGAGGCCTTAAAAGGTCTTTTAGCCTCCGTAATTAAAATTGTAGAATCAGCTTGAGCAACATTTACAGTTAACTTGTTTAATTCTGCTTATACATATATTGCATTAATTTTTCTGCTACCTTAAGATTTCTCTATTCTTACACCTAATTTATATGATTTTCTTAGCATAATATGATTTATAAACCATATTTTCCTAATGGAAGGATGGAATAGGATATGCAAAATTAAGATATTTTAACATTTATTTTCCAGACAAAGCATAATATAGTATTAAGATTAAGATATGACAAATATTATAAGAAAGATCTTAATATAAATCACAAACTAATTACAAACTAATCTTAATTTGGTCTTGCATAAACACAGGTGTAAAACTAATAAGATCAAAACTCAACTTTCACCATATTGTCAAGATTTGGCATTATAGGAAACAATAAATTGCAGCAACTTAAGAAAAGAATATCAAAGTACACAATATTAAATACTGTAATGTTTTCTACGACACAAACCATCTCCCTTCTAAAGAGAAAAAGATAAAACATAAAGCTTATTTTAGTCTTATCAACACACTCTTCGATAAAATATATGTCTAAAATTGCTCTTAATCCACTAACTTGATATTTTTAAGAAATTATTATAATAAAAAAAATATATATATATATATATATATATATATATATATATATATATATATATATATATATATATATATATATATATATATATATATATATATATATATATATATATATATATATATATATTATATTAAAATATTATAATCAAAGTATATTATATTAGTAACATTATAGGTAAGATGTTACCTCTATCTCCCATTGACGTGTATTGTTATGTATAAGACTCGTCATGGTAGTATTTCAAAACATCAATACATATAATCAAAACTATTGTTGCCTGTAAATAACTAAAAATTAAATAACTTGAAAGAAATAAAATAATTCTAATAAGTTTAAAACCATTAAGAAGAAATCTGTACATGATAATTTTTAATTCTAATGTAAATATATAAATAAATGTTATTATTATTACAATTTTATATATTCATAACTCTTTCAATTCACAATCTTTATTATCCTTCTTATCTTAATTTTGGATATCAAGATAAATCTGAAATTATAAAATTAATTATATAGAATTTGTATTATTATTGATTAAAAAAAAAATTTTCAACTGCAAATAATTCGAAAATAAACTGCAATTTGGCAACATCGAAGATGTGCGCTTGCGTAGTATCGATGATCAAATGCAGCAAATATGGCCTTCAAGGTCAGCCACCGGCCACCGGATCCACACCATACCATTTTTAATTTATTGTGAAAATGGAAAATCAGAGTAAAAAATTGAATTAAAAAAATCGATTCTCACTAAGGTCGATTTTTTAGCTTGCGATTTTTTTTGTATCGATTCGCGGTCATTAGATCTAGATCGATCTAAAAAATCCATAAAAAATTGATTCTTTTTACAGAATCACATCCTATACTGGACACTGGACAGATGTTAAATCACAGTGTTAAATGCCATTACAGATGTATACAGTCTATTATGTTTTTTTTTTCCTTATGTTAAGAAGAGAGGGCGCTTTTCGAAGTTACAGTTTTCTTTTATGGGACAAATGAACTATTTCTGTAACCAGCCCTGACAAGCCCCGATTAGCCCTAACCTTACTTTTGGTCAAATTTTAGACATGTCAGCGGGGTTTATGCAATAAAAAGGATAAACAATTAAAATATCTAATGAGGTATCAACTTTTCGTGAAATTAAATAAACCTGATCTCGACCCTCCCGATCAAGTCTTTGCCAAGAATAATTCAGATCTGGTGTCTGAAACTAAAAATATTATACTTGTGGAAAACCCAGAAAAACGTAAGAGTACTGAAAGGCTTCCTGAAAATGAGAAAGAAGCATTCCGGTATGAGATACCGCAAGTAAGAGCCTCGCTTACATTAAAGGTTAGCCCCAGTAATAATTCTATAGATTCAAATCAACAAAAAAAATTCGTAACAATGTGTAATCCTAATAATATACCAAGTTGTCAGCCTGAAAACGATACTAAAACGAGCATAATTGATAATAAATCGATGCCAAGTAACAGCCCTTTACCAGAATGTAAAAAAAAGTCTTGCAACAATTATAAGAAGATGGTGCTCAAATCAGTTCCTGCTAATAAATCTACTTATAATGGACAAGCCGAAGATAAAGATTTTGAAATACCTTTGGAAGAATCCTTGCAGGCAGTAGAGGAATTTATTAAGAGAGAGCAGGAATTAGCAAAATGGCATATAGGTGAGATTGTTTTAGCTAAATGGAAGGGAAACGGTCTTTACTACAAAGCAAAAATTACAGAAATTTTGATCTCTGGACTGGTAAGACTCTCTATACGAAATTGTGGCACACAGTAATTAATTGCATTATTATTTAGGTAACAGTTTTGTTTGATTCATATGATGTTATAGAAGAAATTGATTATAGAGACTTATGCAAATATTTCAGAAAAACCAGCAATTTTAAGAAGAAGGGATTGCCTAGTAAGGATAAAGTACAGCTTGAATTACCGACATTTAATGGCAATCATGAAAAGAAATTTCGTAGGAGGAATAAAAGATCTCTTGGGCAATTTTGTTTTGTTTCTTTCTATAAAAAAGCCAATAAATGTGGGAAAAAAAGATTAGTGGCTTCTCATAGAAAAGTGAAAGCATTAAAAATTATAAGAAACAAAATTACCACGTGGCATATCTAAGATTATTTATAGAGTAAGGAAGATGTGTGGAATTAATTCCTTTTGAAATGTTCGTCATAAATGTGATTTTTCCTGTGTTACTAAATTATTCAATATATAAAAATTCTAGATAGAAATTTTTTAACATACACGCTATAATTAATTGATCTTTAAATCTTATTGCCAAAAAAAAGCAAAGTATATTTTTCTAACTAAATTCAAAATATGCTTAATTTTTCCACGGATTTATGAAAGAATATAGCCACTACTCTCAACATACACATTTATGTTGTGATGTAACTGTGTTTTATATCTATTAATTGGACTTTTGTTATGTAATTTTTACATTTAGTCTGTTATATGAGACTGATTATTAAATAATTATGATAAGATATAATAAGTTATCTTCAGATACATATCTCGCCTTTCATCATTATTTTTTTATTATAGATCAATTGTGTTTTCTTTAGTGATTTTTTTTATTCAATAATGTTGTTTTAAGTAAAATAAAATAATTAAATGTATACAGAAGAGTTTTTTTACCTACAATAAATTATTTTTAGACTTAATTAAGACTAGTTTTCTAGTAACATTTATTAAAAATAGTGATATAAAATTTTAAATTAGACAATAAAAAAATATATTTACAAAAAATATACACAACATAATAGACTTTATATCCTCTTCTTTTTAGGAATCTGAAATAACAAATATTTTCAATTATGAAACAATCATTATAAGCATATAAAATACAGGCAATTTAGTCCAGCTAATATTCTCTATAATCTAAATAACTATGTTGTGGACATTCCTCTGGGTACTGATAAAACAGAATTGGTTTTGTGTGATAAATAGACTTGCCTTGGTTTGATTCAAGAATTGCATTTTTATAAATCTGCTCTAGTTGAGGCTGTACGTAGCCTAAAAGAGGCCTATCGCTCGGCTCAGCAGCCCAACATTGTTCCATAAGATTCCAACATGCTCGGTTGAAATATGATAGACATTCAGGTCTTATACCTTAAAAGAAGTTTTTTATACTTCTATTTTTAACAAAATTGGATAATACCTTTTCTCACACTGTTCCACAACTGTTCTTTGTTTTGAAACTGATCAAAATGAGTAGGCAATTTCACTTGACCAGCACAAATGTACCAAAACAATATTCCAAATGCATACACATCCACACTTGAGTCATACCTTCCACTTAACAATTCTGGAGCCATATGAACTGGAGTACCCACTATACTGCCTGACATCATGGCTTCAGGTATGCAAAACCCAAAATCTGTCAATTTGGCACGATCTTCATTATCCAACTAGAAAAAAGTTATATGTTAATGCCATAACCAAAAATGGCGAACGCGCACACTATTTTTTTAAATAATACTCACTAAAACATTTTTAAGTTTTATATCTCTGTGGACAAGACCTTGGGAATGTAAGTATCTAATGCCTTCAATAACGTCAATAGCTATGCGTAATCGGGTTTGCCAGGATAAACCATTCCGCAAACCGCAGTATAAATCTCTTATCATCCGCTCCATTATTAATAGTACTGCCGGGGAACTACCGCCACCATAACTGTAATCAATCACAGATCCTCTTAATTTTACGATTCTGGGATGTTCCAAAATCGTTCTGTAAATAAATCAATTTAATTTAGGAGTTTAGTGAGGAATTCATTTTTTTTTCTTGCCTAGTGTAATAAAATTCCATTGCCAGGTCGTTCCAGTGTCTGTCATCAGGTGGAACAACAGATTTAAAAGCACAAGGGTTTATATTACCCCATGGTTCACAAGACGACACAACACCATACTGTCCTCGCCCTATTTCCTTTATTTGTTTAGGCATGCCCCATCTTACCAAGTCACACAGTGATGTGCTTTCTAAAGCCAGCCTGGCAAATCTGGGGGCATGTCTTTTTCTAATAGCAATCCTCTGTTCTTCCGTGTGTTCCAGCTGACCAGACAATTGATTTTCTAAACTTCTCATTGCAGATTGAAAAGATTCATGTGATGATTTGACATGTTCTTGGAACTAATAGAATAATTATGTAATATTTATAAAAACATCTTAACAAAAAATATACCTGTAATGAAATAGTTTTGGCTAGTTTTGAGGCACTTAAGGAATCAATCATGTTTGTAACTACTTGGAGTTGCCACTGTAGATTACAGTGAACTTGAGAATTGGAAGACCAAGGTGATGTGAATGTATTTAACAAAGCCCTCAAACGGTCGACGAATGTGTGAACTACAGAGAATGATGTGGGCGTTTTTAATTCGATGTTATACGCTGCAGAAACGATTTGTTTTACAGCATCTGAAGCAGATAAATTGCCCTCTAATTCGTGACAGTTCCTCTCTAAACTTTCCAAACATCTTTTTAATGTACCAGTAAAGCTTTCTTGAAGACAACCAACTGATTTCACTATCCTGTTTGCCACTGATGTACTCAGTCTTTTTAGTACTAGCTGTTGGATTTCCATTGTAACAACTTTTGGTGAGGTTTGTGTTGAACCTGCAATAAGGACAGCTATGTCTATACCAAACAATTCATATTAAATATCTTTTCTACTAACTCGTTGAACTGTATTCCTCCAAAACTTCAGCAACATTAGACTTTATTTCCTGAAGAGTGCTTTGTATAATTGCAGTAATTTCTTCTTGCTGTTCACAAGCTATTTTCATCAAAGTTTTATACAGCTTGTATTCAATGTCCTGGGCATATAAAATTCTTCTAGGTGTTATTTGAATTTCTCTAGCCATATCAAAGGCACAAAGAATAAATTTTCTTAAATAATCGCTGTGTATCTAGAAGACAATGAAATATTAAAATAATAACTTAATATAATATTAAGTTATACATAATTATAATTACCTGACTTAGACACCCTGCCAATTTTAGTACAGTGGACTTTAAAATATTTCTAATAAATAAATTAAATTTATCATTAATTAATTTATCACTCATAAAATCATTATCCAGAGAACAATCAAGGCAAAATGATTTTTTACTTAGCAATTCATCAGTCTTGTCAGAATCAAGCTCACTATTAATATATCCTAGAAGAAATATAATAAATATATTTTAACACCCCCAGAATTTTTATTACCTAGCCTAATAAGCTGGTCTCTTAAACAACCTAACTTTATATCACTTGCTTGATTGCAGCTTTCAACTACATGTTTTTCTGATTCAGTTAAAGATTCAGTACTCATGGATGAAATTTTTGCCTCCAAATTACAATTATCTGCTAAACTAACAAAGAGAAATGGTATTTCGTAAATAGTTTTTAAATTTCTTATTTCTTGAATATTCTAAAAAAATATTCTTAATATACTATGCCTTTTTGGACTTTTTAACTTGCTTACCAAATCACTTAATTGATTCTCAGAAACAGCATATACTATCACAGGTAAAATGTTTTCCATTACTTTTTCTAATACTTCACCTAATTCATTGGGCGAACAGTCCGGCGGTATTAAGATTTTGACATTTTCTTTTAAAACATTATGTTTTAAAATAACTTCCAATGAAGGGCAGTGATCCAACAAGCTTTCATTATCACCTCTTCGAAGATCCTCTTCAGGAATGCAATCCCAAAAGCCTTCATGCGCTTTTAGATTTTCTACAATTTCAATTTCGTTTCCAAGAGTCAGGTGAATGCTTTTAGTAGGACCATACTTTATTGTCACCTTAAAGGTAGGTATTATCAATTAAGTATTTATGTATCAATTTTAAGTTGAAATATACTTACATGTCTCCATTGAGAGCTGGCAGTAGGGAGGATGTTTTGTCCAAGTAATATATTAACAAATAGAGCTTTAGCATGACAGGACTGCCCAAAAATCAGCAAAAGTGGTTCGCGCTCTATTTTTACAGCCAGTTGTTCGAGAGCATCTGTAAATGTCTGCTCACATATATCCCCTAAAAATACTATTAATTAAAAACTGTAAAAACTTAAGGTCTTCCTTATACTCACTTCCAATTTGCAGAACATGATTAATATCATTTAATGATGATTGAGTCTCCTGGATGATTCTTCTTAAACTTTGACAATGCTTGAGATACCATTTAAATTCTTTGGGAATTTCAGACAACATTCTTTATGATTTTATGCGAACCGAATATAAAAATACTGATCGATTTAATGTAACATATTTAACATAACTACAATAAAGTTTTTAATAACACTGTTTTCAAATGCCGTCCATTTAAGGGTAAAAAAAATAAACTGAATTTCAAGAAATTGCATTGACATGCAGACAATGAGGATTTATTCTTTAACTTAATTTGATTTAACTTATAGTGCTGAAAATAAAGTATGACTATTCTTATTATCGGAAGAAAATTATAGCGGTATTATACAACATTGCTCAGTAAAATAACATTTGTGTAAATCTGACACTGACACATCCAGGTTATGTTTTTTAAAGTAAACGTCAAAAAAATTAAATATTGTTTTCGAAACTTTTATTCACCTTAATGTATCCACCTAAATGTTAATCAACACTTCAAGCCCTTTACATTTCCTACATTAATTATAACACAGCTCTTTTTAACATTTCCAAACTGCGCTCGCTAAAAGTTACTTTTTGAAATAATTGTTAGTTGATCTAGTCCAAGATTATTACGATTATTTCTTATTACAATGAAGAATATAACTAACATTAACAGGATATATTACGTTTATAAATATTAGAAATTAAATTGAGGAGAAAAAAAGCTGAAGATAAGGCAGTTTTTAAATTTCCCGCGATATCGCCATAATTCCAAATAGAAATATTTTATAATACGCATGTCTCATCAAAGGTGGCACAACGGGGGTTTTAGAGAGCCAAAAATATTTCTGTTTTGTGATAAAAACTGTAAATTTCATATAAATTCAATATGTAAATTATATCGTATCGAGTAAGCTGCCGTAAATATATTTGAAAGAACTTATTATACAGTTAATTACGCTGGAAAAATAATTTTTATTTTTATCCGATTTGACCTAACGTACGTGCCGCTAATGTGCATCTAGTACATTCCGGAACAGTCGTGAGTATTCTTGTCGATATAACCTTTAAATAAAAGCGGACGCGCGTCAATGGGAGTGTAATCGAGTGTATTGTCCGATCGAGATTCGAGAAGAACGTTAGTGAAGCGATACTTTCCATTTATTGTGATATTATTAAGTGGCATCTGTGAGTGCGTAAAAAACCTTTAATATGGGAAAGGATTATTACAAAACATTGGGAATAGCCAAAGGCGCCAGCGACGATGATATTAAAAAGGCTTATCGAAAATTAGCTTTAAAATACCATCCAGACAAAAATAAGACACCTGGCGCTGAGGAGAAGTTTAAGGAAGTAGCAGAGGCTTACGAAGTTCTATCTGATAAGAAAAAACGTGACATATACGATCAGTACGGCGAAGAAGGTCTCAAAGGAGGTGTCAACGCAGGTGGTGGATCTGGTGGTCCTGGAAACTTCTCCTACACATACCATGGAGACCCAAGGGCCACATTTGCTCAATTCTTCGGAAATTCTACTCCGTTTTCTGCCTTCTTCGACTTTGGCAACAATGGAAGAATGTTTGGTATGCATGATGATGATATGGATGTAGATGATCCCTTTGCTTCCCTCAGTGGAGGTCCCCAAAGAGGAGGCCCTGGCGGAGCCTTTAGAAGCCACTCGTTCAATTTCCAGAGTCCTAACAGGAACAAGGATAAAATCCAGGATCCACCAATAGAGCACGATTTGTATGTGTCACTGGAAGACATCACTAAAGGCTGTACAAAGAAAATGAAGATCAGCAGAAAAGTTTTACAACCAGATGGATCTACTAAGAAAGAAGATAAAGTTTTGACTATTAATGTTAAGCCTGGATGGAAGGCTGGAACTAAAATCACATTCCAACGTGAGGGAGATCAAGGGAGAAACAAGATTCCAGCTGATATTGTGTTCATCATCAGGGACAAGCCTCATCCATTATTTAAACGAGAGGGCAGTGATATTAGATATACAGCTAAAATTTCGCTCAAACAGGTAGGTTTCATTAATTTCTTTTCTAATTCAGTGAAACTTTTGCACTCAGTTTTGATTATAAAATTAGAATTTCTATATTGTGCTAATTATAGCCAGTTTTACTTGACCTACTGTGACGCCAGTTACCAAAAATAATGTCCTGGCTATTTTAGGATTTTTTATATAAATTTTATGTATATTGTGGATTATGTATTTATATATACTAATAGAATTTTTTACTTTGTTTCAGGCCTTGTGTGGGTGCACAGTGGAAGTACCAACAATGTCAGGCAAAACAATACCACTGCATTATACAAATGAAATAATCAAGCCAAATACAACCAGACGCATCCAAGGATATGGCTTGCCCTTACCCAAAGAACCATCACGTAAGGGCGATCTTATTCTGAACTTTGACATCAAGTTTCCAGAGAATCTTTCACAGTCTGTCAAGGATATTTTATATGATACTTTACCAAATTAATTTTTGACTAATTTTAAGTTTAAGAGTGAATGCAATTGTGCGTTTTAGTACAGTTGAATGAGAGCTGACTATGTAATAATGTGTTTTTGCTTTTAATTTTTAATCAGACTATATTTCTTTTAATATGATAGGTAACTTAAATGAACAGTTCCATATTTATTTAAAAAATATATATATTAAATAAATTTTAATTTTAATGTACTGATATAAAATGTTTTTGTGTAAATACTTCCTGTGTATTTTTTATTTGGGTTATGATTATTTGATAGATTAAGTAAGTTTAATACTTTGTAAATTTTCTTAGTATTAAATATAGATTTAATAAATTATTATTTTTTAATTTAGCTTTCGATGATTTTCCCGCCCTAAAAAAATTAATCTTTTCTTTAAGAAGACATTAATATAATTATTTAGGGATTGAGTGAAAAGTTTGTTTTAAAAAATTAGTTAAATTGAGTCAGATGTTAACATTTTTTTCAAATAAACTATTTTAAACGTTGGTGATTTTATTTCCATTTTAAATCCAATGTCAATCGCTCATTCCCTATGTGGGTTTTATTTGCAAGTTGATTTATAAGGTCATCTTAACGTTTTTTTTATTTAACAATATCAGCATGCCAAATGTGAGTTTTCAAGGTGCTGGATACATAGTTTCTCCTGGTATAAAAATATTGCTGCAAAGGACACACAATTCATGGATAAAAATACTGGGAATATTTTATTTACAGATAGTTTTAAACCGAGACGGTGTATTTATTGTCTGATTAATAGCAGAACCCATATATAGTGGAGACGAGTTGGCGGTCAATATCATATTTATTTCCAAAATGTGTAGACGTAGGTATTGCAAGCCTTTCTTTTTTGCCTCCCACCCACCTTACTTTCTAACTGATCTGTTATTGCTCTCAGTTATAACATTTTTTTAATAAGTTTCACGTTATTATTTCAAAATCCAATCAACGAGTTCTAGATCAAGCGCCATAAAAGAGTGTTATCATAATTTCGATTTTTTTATGTATAATGGACTTAAAATAAATAATGAGCAGTATATTATAATAATCTTCGTCATATTAGGTATTTTGACCGGTCAAACGCCTACTCTTAATAATAGACGCCTATCAGTACACAGTTTTTTTTCAGACTTACGACTAAAATTAATTATGATCTTTTGTTGGCGACAAGAAAAAATTGGACCAAAATATAAATATACGCCTGTTTTTATTTGTATATTTATTAACTTAGTTGAAATACTAGAAGAGGGTAAGGTAATAGTAGACATTTTTGTTATTTCAAAATCACTTGTATGCTATACATTTTTCTTAACTACATAGTCTATGTAATTAATTTGATACACATATAAACATACAGTCGTGCTTAGGTAGATAAATATAAAAATAGACATGAAGCAAATATTTTTAAGCATCATTTATAGAGGATTTCAGTGATAAGATGTGATACTACAAGTGTGTTTTTATCTGAGGTTTTTATGGAATGTTTAATTATTTAATTTGGTGTAATTACTAAATTTGATTTATCTGGATGCTTCTATTGTTAAAAACAATAAAAAAGGACTATGACCAAAAGCAATAATAGTTTTATTTATAGCATGCCCAATGTGTATAGTAAAAAATAAATACTATTTCAAAAATAGAACTTTTCCTGTTGTGTATATAAAGGTATTATTATATAAACATTAAGAATTATGTATTTGTGTAAACTTAATTAAATTAAAGAGTTCAATATACCTTAATACAAATATATTTCTGGCCATACGCAACTGGTTTGTTTGCAATTCTACAGCCAAATATAGCAAAAACAATTTGTATTTTCGCAAACATTATTTGCTGTTATATATGGAGTTAAATAATAAGAAAAATTCGAGAGTTACATTTACTGCAAAATTATTTATTCACAAAAATCAAAACAATATTTCCATCAAAAATTAAAAAGTTTAAAGAAATTATGTATATACATAAAACAAAGCTAATAAACGAGACATCGAAATACCAAGTTACTAAAAAGAATATTTAAAATGAACGGTATGTAGACTTCTTACACTGGCCTCTATTTTAAAGATGTTTTTTGTTCATCAATAAAGTGACATACCCAGTAAAATTGAAACACTGTAATTTAGATTAACAATTTTTCCTAGATATAATTTACATTAGTTGTACGTGAAAAGGAAATTAACAGCTTTAAAAGAAATATGGATTTGGGGATGATTGTATACAATAACATTAATTTTGCTTGATTTTTATCTTAAGACGATTTAAAAAATTACTTATCAGGGATCATTTTGTCTGATATATCTAAATTTAAAATAGGAAAACTAAAACATATTAAATCTCAGTAAGTTATTTATGCTACACTTAACAAGCTATAATGTGAAAGACCTACCATTTAATATGTACAAAACCATATATGGTTCGAGAATAAACAGGAGTATACACAACGCATCAAATACTAAAACGAATATATTTATCAACTTCCCTATAAATAGTTAAAAAATAGTGACTCCATAAATTTACTAGTTTGAATTAGCATCAGTCTCCTGTTTACTCTATAAACAACTAGGGCAATACTAGACAACTGTAACTTTTTCTAATGTCAACCAATATTTTTTATACATATTCTGAAGATAGTTTTGATAAGGAATACCCTAAGGGAATACCCAATGAAACGTAAAAAATAAGAGAAAAAGATTAACTACCAAAAAGAGAAAAATAAATTACATATATTTACTTTTGATTTCTAACTTATTCTTGAATTCCAATTCCCTAGCATTGCCACTTACTTTTAAAACATAAACTGCTGTATATAAAATGAATGAAAAATGTAAAAAAATATTTTCCAAATTATATGAATGAAAAAATAGAAAAAAAATAGCATTCTAAATTAGATCGGAATCCAAAATAATATTCGGTCGTATACCATATAAAAAAAATGTTCTTAATAATATGAGAACATAATCTAGGAGCAAAAATGGATTACTTAAATAGTTAAATTATTGGTAAAAAGTTTTCTGTATAAAGATTCAAAAATTAGAAATAAAATATTCATGAAAATTAACATAAGGATATTTTTTCGGGTTCGGTATTTGTAAAATTATTTTAAATATCACTTATATATGTGTATAAACAAAATTTAAATATGTACCTAAAAATATTTCTATGGATTTACTGGAACTGGATTAATATTAAGAACAGACTAGAAATAAAAAAAAATATTTGTTGGTAATAAAATTCTTTTGTATAAATATTCCTCTCCCTGACAGCAGTTTATGAGCCATATAGGATATAAAGTACTTTACAAAATATAAACATAAATTTATCACAACTGAATAAACTAAATATGAAGATAAAAAAAAGTTCTCGAAGCTCTTCATTAAAAACAAATTACAACAACTAAAAATACTTTTAAGAAAATTTGTGGGGAATATATAAGACGTTGGTTTTTAGTCGATAAAAACGATTTCTAACCACTAGGAAGCGTCCTTTGAAGTAGACGGTTGTGTGGAATCGGGAGACCTAGGGCTGCTAGATCTGCTCTCGCACGTATCCACGCTTTCGAAGGTTGTGCTTCGCGAGCACGTGATACAGATATAATCTTCGTCCTCGTTGATATCTTCGGCAGATAATCCCACGCAAGCCATGTGGAACCATTGGTCGCAACCCCCGTCGCACTGGACCCAATCCACATTCTGCCCTGTCGGTCTTTGACAGCCGTTAGCCGCGCAGTCTTCGTCTTCGCTATCGCTGCTGTTCGAGGCAGTCGATTGACATCGACGTCCGCGACGTTTGCCTCTTTGTTTCTTCTGATTAGCGTCTTTGTTAGTGCTCTGCTGTTTCCTACCTCGTATTTTTTTCTCGCCCTCACCAGCTTTCATGGTTTTTATCGATTTCTTCGTAGAATCGATCACGTCTTCGGACAGTCGTTTTCTACCCCGTCTCTTTGGCGTTGTCTTCTGGTGCGCATCGAAATCTATAAGTACCACCTCGTTATCGGGGTCCCTGGAACCCAACATCAGTTTCCAAAGGGCGAAAGTCTCGTCTAGATACACTTCTAATAAATCTCCTTCCATCAGGAGATCTTCCAGTTGCTTCTTAATATCCGGATTAAGTCTGATGATGTAGTCTTCACCGTCGCTTTTGGGTAGGTGAAGGCTGTAGGCGTGTTCACCCATTCGGTCATCAGAGTCTCTGGAAGATTCTCTGGATGCTTCATCAGAGTCGTTTATTCCGCTATCGCAAGTTACTCCGTCTTCGTTGACCCCACTGAACGGTGTAATTTCTTGAACTCTTTGTTGCAGTTCGGGATTTTTGGAAGCCCTTTTTAATTCGGTCGATATGATTTTTTCCGTTCTCTGTCTCGCGGCAGCTTCGGTGTATTTCTGGCTTAAAGAACCCAACTTGACTTTAGCCTTTTCTAATTCAGGGTGTTGCAGAAGTTGTCTGGCACGATCTTGCCAGTTCATGGCGCGTTCAGTGAGGCATTGCAAGGCCTCGCCCTCCGGCACTCTGACGTAGAGTTTGTGCAGTGACATGAGAAGACTAAGAATAATGTCAAGACGTGGCCGTTTTGTTCTTTGACAGTTTGGGCACAGGTACTTGCAGTCTTTAAATCCTAAGCTAATACATACATTTAGAAAATTGCCTTTAAACTTTGTAGTGGCAATTTTCGGAAGTTGAGTACAAGTTGAGTGGAACCAATCTTGGCATAATTCGCACTTCATCATTACTCCAAAAAGACCCTTACCGCAAATGCAATAAGTTGTTGCTGTATCAGTTGGATCCATTGATTTTTGTTTATTGGCCAGTCTAAGTTTCCTGATCATTGACATTTCAGCTTCTTCCGCCTCTTTGAATAAATCCACAACAGTAGCAGGGTCCATTGAGTTAGTTAAAGTTATGGACTTGACATCATCATCTGGGTTTTTACCTTTCTTGTTCTTGATGGTGTTCGGTAACACAGTCCTTGGTGACAACGCTTCCATTAGAGAGCATCCCAAATTCCTTCTAAGGAATGCCCTGGCTGTTTTTTCCTTCCATCCATTAGCTGAAACTAGGTATTCGTTCATTCTCTCCACCTCAAGTAAGTGCAATGGAAGCGTGCGCCCTTTCTTGATCAATTCTTCCATGGCGCTATAATAAGGGTAGTATTCAGGTGAATTCATTTCTTCCAACTGCTTCAGCCATTCTCTGCCCTTCTTCATAGCATCATAAAGAATCCCTTCAGTGGGTAGATGACAGGAAATTTTAGACGCTTCTTTCAGAAGCTTGTCCACCTTCACCAAAACATTCGCGTCTTGCGATTTTAAAACTTTAGCCGCTTTCTCCTCCCATTCCTGACTTTGCTGTAGTATCAGTTGCAAATTCGACAATTCCTCTTCCATTTCAGTATTTGGTGGTAGTGAACAACCTTCCTGAATTAAGTTCTTTATAACATCAAGGCCCATAACTTCAGTTTTATTTCTGTAGTTTTCTAGATCCTTCATCCACTGAACTTGTTTTATTCTCGTTTGGATGTGCTTTAAGCCAGGTAGTTCAGTGCACAGCCCATTCCCATGGGATAGACAAGCTTCTAGTTCAGCCAGAGAGTTTTCTTTCAAAGACTGAGCCAGTAGTTCTGTACTTTTAGCTTCAAACTTTTGCGTTTGTTCTAATAACACTCTGATGCTTTTAGCTTCATCTAAAACACAAGCTAAACTGTCAATCTCCTCGCAAAACTGTGTTAGGTCGTCGACAGTCAGTTTGTATTTTGCTTCACTAGAATGTCTAGTTCTTGTACGCATATTATTGTGGTCCAGTAGATGTATAGCGCTCGCGCATTTTTCGGCATCTATAACTGCCCTTGTTAAATTCTGAAGTAATTCGCATTTAGGAAACTTCTTTCCATCAGCTTCATTCAAGAGTAACTTCAAATCACTTAAACTAAGAATCTTGGGAGTGTTTGGGTCTAGAGCATCTTTGACTTTTGCTACCCAGTGATCAAAAGATTCAGCTTTAAGTTTTAAAGCTTTTAGCATTACAGGGAGTTCATCTAATGTGTAGCGATACCGCAAAGTCCGATTTTTTGGAGGGCATTCGCATAAGTTCTTGTAATGTCTCAGACAAACTAGATTTGATGAACATGAGCAAGTCATGGCTGACAGAAAACATGTTGTTTTGCATATCTCACATTGTCGTTCGTCATCAGGTAGTAGTTCAAATGCCTCGCGTTCCGCATTTATAACGCCCTATTGTAAAAGAAAAGTTAATTTTTTTCATGAGTTTTGTGGCAATTAAAATAAACTTACCCAAACCAGTAATGCTTTCCTCAGTTTCTTCTCAGTATCCACCATAACCAGCATGTCTTGATATGTGGCTGCTGCTATGGTTAGATCTAATTTGTCGTTATCAAGAGCCATTTTACACACAAGTTCGTCATGGGAAAATACGCAGAATCTCCTTAAATGTGAGTAATGAAGGACACACTCTCTCCCCATTCTTAACCAATCAGCTGGTGCAAAATTAACAGCTTCAGCAAAGTTATACCTAGGAAATAAAAGATAAAATAAAGTAAATTTGTACACACTTAAGCCCCGTCTATATATAACGTTTTACCAGCAATATTATCTATTATATTTTGCTTAGAATATTTTGTTTAGTTGAAGTTGAAAGGAAAAAAAAATATTTTCATTATATATACATTACAGTTAAAGTCCGATGTCCAGTTAATGTCCACATTAACAGGTTAATGTTCGGGGTTGGTTATGTTTTTGGTTGTTTTGTTGTGTGTTATTCTCGAGATTAACCGGGTAATGTCGACATTAACCGGACATCGGGCCTTCACCGTAACATATATATTATCAAATCCTTATTATTTTTTGTAAATTTACTTATATTTTTTTCAGCAATTTGTTGTGAGTTTTTTTTTGTATAAAACCGAATGATCCTGTCAGTTCTCTAGACGGTATTCCGTCATAATTCAGTTCAAGTAAAACAGTCCGTTTTCTCGTCTAGACACCATGTTTTACTTTATACGTTTTCACTGATAGGTAAAATGTAATGTGTAAAGGGGGCTTTAAATAACACATCATACCCTTGGTTAAAGCCAGCATGGTAGGCTCTAGGAAACGTAACGACAAATTCCCCAGCATGCTGGTCTGTTCTAAAAACTGGAACACCAGCATTCATAAGGATATTTGGATTCATGATAGTAACTAATTGGTGAAGTAAATCAGGCTGTGAGTGAAATAATTCCGGAGCAGCAGATTTCATTGTTTCCTCAAAGGTTTCCGCTTTGCTTCCTGGAACTCCATACCATGTTTTGGCTTCTCCCCAGTGTAGGTAATTTATTGAGTATGACCAGTGGTCTTCATTGTGCCAGCAGAACGTAGCAAAACACATTCCAACATACATCCAAGGAACCTAGTTGTATAAATAGTTTGAATCATTTTTATACGTCATTATTTTTAAATAAAAATTACCTTCATTCCAGAAATATCTGCATTAATATATCCCAACACTGATCCCTCTAATACTGGCAAGTTATTTAAATTCCAACTGGATTCTGCATATTCTTTATCACCTTGGAACAAGTTTGCTGATGATTTTGTGGGAAATCCTGAACCATGATCCATTGTGTGTAAATCAGCTCCGTATTCCACTGTTACATCTTCATCAATTGATGAAACTATTCTCCAAAATTCTCTTTCTACTGTACTTGTTGAAACCATCTGAGAAAATATACAAATTAGCATGCACTATTATTTATATGGCTTAATATAATACTTACATGCACAGGCATATTGAAATAATCACTTTTAAACTGATCTGCCATTTCTCCAAATTGTTGTAACGTGTATTCTCTCTGTGCTTGTTCAAAGCCAAATGCCTCAGTGGGTTTTGATACTTCTTCAGCTACACATTTTGGGCATCTCCAGTCACCTTTTGGTATTTCTGATAGGGGAGGCATCAAGCAAAAAGTGTGGTAACTGTCATCACAACCGTCACAAAGCAACATGTATTCCTCAGCATCCCCTCTATTACAATTATGACATATATATTTTGCTAACTAAAATATATAATTGTTGAAAAATCATGTTGGAATAAGTTAAGAAAAATAATTACAGGATCAAAGTCGTATTTAATATTTTTTGATCTTGGCTTAGCTTCTTTTTTATCATCATATCCAGCCATTTTTGGGCCAGCTCCATAAAACTGTAATCTTTTCAATTCTTTATTTTTATCGTCATTGTCAGCGTCCTCAGATTTTTCTTCCTTAATCTTAAGCTCTATCTAAAATATATAGAAAAAAAATAACATATAGGAAGGTATTTTTAATTTTTTTATTTTCCTACTTCAGTCTTATCCTTGTCATTAGTTTCAAATCTTTTGGAACGTCTGGCATTTTTATCTGAAGGTGGTTTCACTGCCATTCTATTAACAATACCATGAGGTTTATAGTCTTTATCTGTTTTTTCAACACCATCGTCAGGGTCCTCAATTTTCTAAAAAAGGTTATGAAATGTACATAAAGAGCTATTATTTCTATAAATTAAATTACTTACTATACTAACAGTTTTCCCTTCCTTAAAGACATCATAAGGAAATAGCAGTCTCTCATAATGTTGTTTTAAAATAGTGCCCACATTTTTTCCAATCTGATATCCCATGCGTATAGATACTTTAGACCATTTCCTTTGTTTTGTGACTTCTTCGAATCCGCCTTCTAGCTGTACAACTCTATGCAATGTATATAAGTCTAAAACTCTTCTCTCAACCATAGGGATTTTGAGGGAAGAGCCCTGTAATTCCCAAAATTTAGCTATTTGATCTAGGAAATTAAGCTTTACCCGAGTTTTTGCCTAAAATAATATATAACATTCTTAGTAATTAGATAGAAATTGTAATAGTGATGAGAGCATACCTCTAATTCATTTAATCTTTGAATTCTAGGAGTAAATCTTAATTTATCCACATCTACAGCAAATGGAGGTTGCCATCTCTAAAATATAAAAATTGTAATTATCAATCCAAAAATTTGTAAGTTTTCATTTAACATATGCATTATGTTGCAACACAATAATATATTAAGAAAGTAATTTAAAAAAATTATAAAGCCATATTGTTAGTTAATATGGCTGTTCATATTCTGTATTATTTTTCACAAAATTTTTATTAAGACACATTACTAATTGCAATATAAAACAAATATGTCTGCTTCTAAGCTGGAAATGAATTATACAATTTCTAAAAGCCATGTTAAATGTCAATTTATATATTTATATGTTATGGATGATATCTTCCTAAGAGTTTATGTTTTATAAGGTACTGAAATAAACTTACCCCAGGTGGTTTAATTTTACATATTCCTGTATTTTCTGCAATAGGTCTAATTTTAGCAATGTAAGCTAATGGATCTAAGAATTCCTGATCAGTTGGGAAAAACACTGGGGCTTCTGGGGGCACCTTAAATTGAAAAGCTTCCTCCTTACATTGATTGTAATGTTCATTGCATTTAATGGGCGAATTCTTTGAACTTCCAGGATTGCTTTTATTCAAATTGTTAGTTCCATTTAACTGTTTCTCTTTGGTCGTCATTTTGAAAAAATTTACATTATGAAATGCGCCGTCAATCACTTCTTATGTTGTTATTTGACTAGGATAGGCACTTCCATTTTCGTTTTCATTTCAAAAAATATATATTTTAGGGAAATCTACACTGATATTTATCGTGTCACATTCCTAGTAACTTTCGCGAGAACTCGACTAACTTAACAAAGTCCGCTGTATGGAAAATATACACCAAAGACCGAAAAACACAGTATTTCTTCCAAAATATGTCGGGGCTATATAGTTTATCGTTAATATGCAATGAAAAGTCGGATTCTAAAACTTAATCACTATTTTTTGACACACTACCAATAATTTGAAGCAAAAAAGTAAACGGAGTCCACCATCTACATACATATCTACCCCCACTACCAAATCGATCGCTCGATTAGTAACACAGAGACTAGGCTTGATTTCAACTCTTTTATGTAAACATCAACCCTTTATATCACTATTAGATTTTAGAATAAACTCTAAATAAATTTAACAGAAAGAAATGCAACACGCTCACTACTTTGTGTTATTAAATACCCCTAAATTTTTATTTTATAGGTTAGTCCCTCATACCTCTAACAAAAGGCAGAGGCAATTTTGCCTTGTTGCCACCATTGAAAAATCCTGGTTTTTAAGGAATTTCTTGTTATTCTTGGCATCATACTTGGTGGCAGCATACCCACATGTACTTTTACCAAATAAAATAAAATAAAAGTTCCCCAAGAATAAAAGTGATGGCATTTATATATATATATATATATATATATATATATATATATATATATATATATATATATATATATATATATATATATATATATATATATATATATATATATATATATATATATATATGTAAATATGCCTAATTAAAGGATTATTTTTGCTAAATACCCTTTGGTCCATTTTCGGAGTATTCTTTTACTCTCATTTTAAACTTTATTTGCTTTAGCAAAAAAATTCCTCTACTATAAATATTATCTTCACCACTTGGCAACACTTAACAGTAAAAAAGGTACGTGATCTACAGTTTACCAATAAAAAAGTGGTCATGGATTGATGTTAATTGACTGAAGTACTGATCTGGGCTACTTTAACTACGTTACATTTTTTACCTAAATTCTAATTATTATAGGTTAGAAGGCTCTTATCAATCTCAAGGAGATTCTGTGCATATTCTGTGTGCGAAATCCTTAAAAAGTCAGAATTCGTTGTTTCCATACAACGAGTAACTTCTATTAAATATGTACTTGAACATTAGTGTCATAAACTTAGTCTCCACTTTTTACGACAGAATATTAAACAGTATTTTGTGTTGATAATTGATATTGAAAATATAAACAAGCCTCCCTAATCAATTTAAATTTCCCGCAAATACTCCCATGCGCCATGCATATATTTTGAACTAGAATTTACAGATATGTTGCCACGTCGAACTGTATTATTTTAAAAGTTATGATTTCGATGACATTAATTGGAATATGTCAAAATGATTTTCATCCAATGACTAAAAATTTTCATCCATATCTGGCTGTCACCTGTCACGTACTGTCAAATTTCCTGTCAATGTCAACAAGTTGAATTAAAAAATACTAATATTTTTTTGTTAAATTATAGGTACTTTTAAAATACCACAAATTAAATGTATATAGAGGAATTTTGAATGGTTCAAGACAGTATTTGGTAATGAGTTTGATGCGGTGCAGCTTTTCATAATGTCCAAAAACAAATTAAATCTTACACTACCCCCTGGTTCAATTGACCAAACCCCCAATTTAACGCCCACTTCTGGCTATCAGGAATCATGCGCCCCGTAAGTACCATTCTAATTAAAATGTTATTTTTCTTTACTCAGATACTTCATTATGTTTTTTATGCAAATGGAATAGGCTTGTTTTTTAGTGCTTCTGAAAACAAGTCATTTGCAATCTAAAATATGTTATTTTAATAAAGATTTAGTGAATCAGGGATGTTTAAAATAATAATTGTTAATTTTAAGCCCACCAAATGTAGTAAAGAATGACATCGATCATTTAACTGCCCGTTTAGAAGAACTAGATATGGACGATACACAAAGAAGAAGAATAGAAGTATTTTTATGTCAGAAAGAAAAAATTGGCGGTGATTTATCAGATGACGATTTTGAAAAACTTGGTGAATTAGGTTCTGGAAATGGCGGTGTTGTTACCAAAGTGCGACATAAATCCAGTGGGCTTATAATGGCAAGAAAACTAATACATTTAGAAGTGAAGCCTGCCATAAAGAAGCAAATAATTCGAGAACTGAAAGTTCTGCACGAATGTAATTTTGCACACATTGTTGGTTTTTATGGGGCTTTCTACAGCGATGGTGAAATCAGTATTTGTATGGAATATATGGACGCCGGTTCTCTAGACTTGATACTGAAGAAAGCAGGCAGAATACCTGAAAATATTTTAGGGAAAATTACGTCTGCTGTACTTAAGGGGTTGAGCTACTTAAGAGACAAACATGCCATAATGCATAGGGATGTTAAACCAAGTAATATTCTTGTTAATAGCAGTGGCGAAATAAAAATCTGTGATTTTGGTGTATCAGGTCAACTAATTGACTCGATGGCCAATTCATTCGTTGGAACAAGGAGTTATATGTCTGTATGTATATAATATTAGGAATGTCATGTTAGGCAAAAGTAATTATTATTTTTTTTTTATTTAAGCCTGAAAGATTGCAGGGGACACATTATTCTGTTCAAAGTGATATTTGGTCTTTGGGGCTTTCATTAGTAGAAATGGCTATTGGAATGTATCCAATTCCACCACCTGATGCAAAAACTCTTGCTGCGATATTTGGTTCTAGTAAAGATAGTGATTCTCCTGATGGGTCCAGAACACCAAGACCTATGGCCATTTTTGAACTTCTTGATTATATAGTTAATGAGCCACCACCAAAATTACCTTCAGGAATATTTTCAGATGATTTTAAGGATTTTGTTGACAGATGTTTGAGAAAAAATCCAGATGAAAGAGCAGATTTAAAAACCTTAATTGTACGTATTTTATATATCTGTTTTGATGTCACAATATACATATGTCAATTTTTTTGCAGAATCATAAATGGATAAAAAACTGGGAGACTGAAGATGTGAATGTAGCAGAATGGATATGTGAAACTATGGAAATTAAACCACCAAACAGAACTTAATTTTGAGCTTTTATCGTTAGCTAGTTGTTACAAGAAAATATATTTTTTCCAATAAAAATGTAGGTTTTTGTAGACTTACTAAATAGACTTTTTTATATTTTGTGCTGTGAATATTATGCACATTATAATCAAGTACAAAGTTTTTTTTTTAGTTCATAATTAAAACTAACGAACGAAAATAGTGAATCAAACAACAATTTAATAATAATATTATATTGTATTCAAATCCAGTGATAATGATTTAACACCGTAATAGTCTTTTATATTCTTAGATATAGTGTAAATCTGTATTAAATAAATTTAGTTTATTATTATATGCTAGAGGTATTCCACTTAGCAGAAGATTACTTTGAATTACATTCTCTATTTTTCCATTTTGAACTTAACACATTATCAAAGTAAACTTTTGCTATATAAAAATGCTTTTGCTGAGAATTATTGTGATTTTTTATTTATATTTTTTTAGAAAATTTTTAATCAATAATTATTGTGGGGCTTATTGTAATTAAAGCCGTTATGTATTATTTTTAGAATAACGAATTTTAAGAATTAATTTTAACTTATATATTTGATTTATTTCTAATTCGATATAGGTATTCAACATTTTGTTTTGAACCTCTTTTTATATGTACATTATTTAAAATTGCTTTTGCAATTTAAACCATATCATAGACAAGTGCTTGCAGACGTCATAATTTTATACATTGTGAGTCAGTTAAATAATAATATACGACATCAATAAAATAATAGTGTTGCTGTGTATCAATTAAGATACACAGCATTTTTGTGATATAGGTCTTCAATTTTAATTCTATATAAATTAGGCATTGATGTATTCAAAAACTAATAAAGTTCTTTATTCAATTTACTCGATTTTTTTTGCTACCTAAAAAGTAATATGCAATATGCAGTGTTGATATAATTTTCAAATTGGGAATTAAATTTAAAATTTAAATAACTAGTGATTTTTTATTTCAAGGTTGGTACTTGGCCGCGGGCGCCATCTGTATGTGTCATTGATTTATGTCACTTGTCACTTTTCAAATTTAACTCGATCTTTTCTTTTTGGAGTTTCACTTAGGTATGTTTATTGCCGAATAATCTTTAAAAATATTATTAAATCAAAGTCATCTTATTTCACTAAACGATTTTTTAAAGTTATTATTAATTTTAACAACTTATCCGGTGTGTATTTTCGTTACAATTATCGAAAGTTTTTCGAAAATCAAACCCAAAGTTTAAAGTGTAGCGTTATTTAGTGTTATTATTTTTGTTTCAGGTTTTAAACATGGGTCGATACGCTCGTGAACCTGAAAATGCCACCAAAACCTGCAAAGCTCGTGGCTCAAATTTGAGGGTACATTTTAAGGTGAGTTTAAAAATAATTTTGTTATGTTTTTATACATAAGTTACTCTAACCTGCAGGGCATATATATATATATACTTGTTATTTCTGCAAAAGTTGAACATTTTTAACAACATAGACATACAATTATTAAATTTACCAATATACCTTTACATTCTGTATTCTGTTTGCATTAGGAAATTCTTATACCTAGTTCATACATTCGTTTCTTTTATAAAATTGGTGTACTTGTGTGGTGCTTTTCTTATAACATCTCTCTTAATTTACTATTTTTACACTAAACATTGATGGTACAATTATAGTTATAAATATTATTTCAGAACACATGTGAAACTGCAAATGCAATTAGGAAAATGCCACTGAAAAGGGCATTAGCTTATCTGAAAAATGTTGTTGCAATGAAGGAGTGTATTCCCTTTAGGAGGTTTAATGGAGGTGTGGGAAGGTGTGCCCAAGCAAAACAGTTTGGTACAACACAGGGAAGATGGCCAAAGAAGTCTGCAGAATTCTTGCTGCAACTGTTGAGAAATGCTGAAAGCAATGCTGATTACAGTGGCTTGGATGTAGATAGATTGGTTGTAGATCACATTCAGGTAAGTGCATTGATATAAATCAAATTTATTTTAATGAGCAATGTATATTTAGAATGTGTTGCTAAATATTACAGAAGGTAGCTCGCTTTACTTATATAAATACAATTTATTTTGGTTTGGTTTGGTAATGCAGCATGTGTAAAGCTTTTTAATTATTTTATTGTGCATTAGAAAGTAGATTGTTTTACTTATATTAGATGGAGAGATGTCTATAAACCCATTGTATGGGTGTATATGTTACAGTTAAAATCAGATATCCGGTTAGTGTTGACATTAGCAGGTTAATGTTTGGGTCTGGTTTTGTTTTTGGTTGTTTTGTTTTGTGTTATTCTCGAGATTAACCGAGTAATGTTGGCATTAACTGGATATCGGACCTTAACCGTAACATATATGTATTGTAGGTAAACTTGTGAGTGTATTTTTCAATATAATATACAGATTTTGAGGTATTTATAATTATTACCTTTATGTGAGTGTTTGAAAAAATAGTATTTGATTACATTAAATTTTGAATTAAGCATTTTTTCAAGTAAATGTTGTGACTGTTTCTTTAAAATTTGCCAGTTTTTGTCTACAAAATAGCACTGAACTATAAAAAGTGGTTTAAGCTGATTTTAAGCATTTATTGTTTCTGTATATTTTGTATAAATGAAGAATGCAAGTGTTCCATTAGTATTCAGATATTTTAATGTTATATTTAAAAACCATGTACCCGAAAGTCATTAAATTTTGAAGAAATAGTTTTAAAAGAAAAATTCTATAGCCAGCAAGATACATGTTTTTGTAATCAATATTTTATGAAGAATATTTTCAAAATTAGTGACTATATGAAGATTTCCGAAGAGAATTTGATACCAAATTAGTGCATGGTTGTTTGTTATTGTATATTGTAGAAGGTATTTTTATTACATGTTTATAATATTTTTTTCTGTTTTTTCCCTTGAAATATGAAAATTTGTGCTGTGTAATATATTTTTTTGGTACATTTTTATGCTTCATTTAAAGAAAGGAAGGTTTAAAATTTATTATGATTGCTGTTTTAGGTGAATAGGGCAGCTTGTTTAAGGCGCCGTACCTACAGAGCTCACGGTAGAATTAACCCTTACATGTCTTCACCATGCCATATTGAGCTCTGGCTTACAGAAAGTGAATCTAATCCTGCATCTCCATCGAAAAAGAGTAGTAAAGAAGCAGGAGATAAAACGAAGAGGGCTAAAACAGCTGCTGTTGCGGCTCACTAATTTATGTTGACATTCTAAAAATCTGCATCTTCCAAAGAGATGTAAAGAACCAGAAGATAAAACACGAGGGCTAAAATAACTGCATTTTGCAGTACACTAATTTATGTTGACATGATAAATATAAAACTTTATACACATATCGTTGTTTTATTTTTATATAAATATGTATATGTATTTACTCTTTTTAAAAAAATTTTAATTCTCAGAACACAGAACTAAGGAATTTAATTTAATTTTAATTCTAGGGTCCTATATACGATATATTATTTAAGATTACAGAAATCTGTAAGAAATTTTACTGTTTTAGGTGAAATTTAATTTGTTTTGAATATAGATGGCGCGAGGGGTAAAGAAAAAATATTTCAAATTATGGATAAAGTTTATTAAAAAAGGTTTTTTCAAAAGGAGTTAATTTAAATTTTAATTGTTATAATCTATTTTTTTATATGAAATTACAGTTCATAAAAGGGTATAATGAATTACAAAAATATACAATTTGAATTGTTATATTTGGGTTACAATGTTTAATATAAACATTGTACTACGTACATGAAAATACATATACTGTGTTGAAAGACATAATTATATAAACAAAATATTTTTCTTTAAATCATAATGTTTAGAATTTTGTGATTAAATCTATATGCTTTACTTTCCAACTATTTTATAAAAGACGAATGATAACAATAGTAATTTAACAGTCGTAAAAAAAATAAATAACAGATCTTTTCATACCTTATAATAGTAACGTGTTGAGCGGTTTAAATGTATTTGGTACGTTTTTTAATGAAGTAACTGCCACACTGTGCCATTTTTTTCTTGTGAACTTTCCTATGTTTGGCCAAGTGATCGGATCGCGCAAATGCTTTTTCGCACAGCTCACATTTGTACGGCTTTATTCCAGAATGGGACCTCTTGTGTCTGGCCAGCTCGTCTGACCTGGAGAACCTCCATGTGCAGTTCTGCCAGTTACAAACGAATGGTTTCTCACCCGAATGTCTTCTGAGGTGCGCCTTGAGATGGGACGATTTCGCGTAGATTTTCTCACAATTTACTATGGGACAAGTGAAATATTTCTCTTCCTCCGGCTTAGTTTTTTGAGTGTAGTCGTGGTCCTTTTTTCTGAAAGCCTGGTTGTCGTTTTTAACGTTGCCTTTTGTACCTGAGATATGTGCATGATTGTTTTCATAGAGTAAGTTCCTTCTGCGCCTGTTTTTTTCGTCGTTCATGTGCGGAAACATGCTGATGATGTCCGAGTTTTCATATTCGTTGTATGTCCCGTCCATGATGAAACTATAATCCAGAGAAGTGCTGCTGAATAATTCATTTACCTTCTCTGACAAGGGCAAAATCAAATCGCACGAATTTTCTAAAGCAGAGTCCAGAGTGTCTGTGTCCAAGTTCAAATTATCACCAAGAATGGACATCTGATGGTTTTCCAAGCACGATTCCTCAAAGAAACTTTGCAGTTCCAGAACGCTGTCATTTTCGTTGTAGGCGTTCTTCTCGTTGTTATCCAACAGGCTTTTTATGATGCTATCCAGAAATTTGTCGTCTCCGTTTATGGCACTGTAATCCTTGCTGGAAGTGTCGCATTTGTATGATTCTGCGTAAGGATCTTCGGAAGATTCGTCTTCGAAGGGTAAAAAGTCCAGTAATGAGCTCAGTTCCAGAGGGTTGTCTTCGCAGATCTCTTCAGATATGTCGTTCGAAGGCATATTACTTCACTAAAATAAAAAAAATGTTAGGGATAAATAATCTGTATATGAATATTAAAAATAATATAGATTCAAAATATTACCGATGTTATTTAACAAGCCACGATATATACGGGTACAATGAAGACATTTAAACCGGCTTGACACTACTGGTGTGACGGATCTATATCAATCTCTAAATTGAATTAAATTACGCTACATTGAAACATCACGAAGTGAATACCTAGCTTTAAATAATAAATTTTGTTGTTTGTCAGTGGGATATTTCTGTTCTGTTATTTGTTTGGTATTGTATATAGCATTTCCAATTAAAATTTGGTTTTTGCCTTTGAAGGGAAATTGATATTTACTATTTCGGCTCATCAAATGTGTATCTCTTTTAATTATTGTGTTGCGCTGATTTCCCGGTAGGACACGATTGACCCGTTGAATTTAAACTGAATTGATTCTTAAATAATATAAACATCTTAAATAATCAATAATTTATTCGAAAATAATAAATGTAATTTTTGAATTTTAAAAATAATTCTCCAGATAAAAATTTAAAAGCTCGTTGGCTGAAATAATTAAAAAATAAATATACAAAGACTTGCCTGTAAACTCCGATGAATTTTGAGGTGAAACAAGGGACTATCCAGATAATTCGTGGTCCACTGTCGCAAGCGAAGCGTGGAATCTAACAAACGACTGTTTTTAACGTGATTTGGTCAATGACTGCCACAGAAATGTCGATTATCCATTTATAACATAACACATGCCGTACGAATCCCTTGGGCTTTTTGAAAAACTTGTTAAAATTTAATTTTATTAGTTCGTGTCAAGTATTGCCTAGCACTAGTTTGCGTCTGGGATTGGTTTCATCCCTGGAGTATTGGCGTGTTTTGTTATTAGAGAGGAATTCGTATTACAGCGGTACCAAACATAATATATTCTCTAAACTTCCGTTTTTTGAAAAAATATTTATTTGGCCTTTTCCGGAGCTCGTTAAGTATCCCCAAGAATTTAATATTAATAACCAGTATTTTTTAGTTTTTATTTGATTTGAATAAAAGTACCAAACACAACTAAGCTACAATGAACGTGAATAACGAATTTTAACTGCAACGTTTTTTATTCTGAAATTTTTAGATATGTTAGGGTTTTCTGTTTTAGCTGTAGGTTGAGGATGTGTAGAGATAGTTTGTCACATTACTGATAAGCCCACAGTCAGACTACATGCGAGTCTGCTGATAACAACTTAATTGGTTAATTCCTATTAGTAATTCAATCTGTTTTCGACGTATTTCTGACGCTCTTTTTTTTCGGTTCATACGAATATGAGTTGTTTATTTTTATGTAGAATTTTATTGTTATTTTGTAACTAATTACTTGTTTATTATTTTCAATTTAAAGAATATTATTATACAGGATGCTTCTTTCCTATTAACTTAAGTAAAATATATGATTAAGAAAAATCTGAAAGTTTATGATGGTATACAGGGGTGCAGCAGAAATCTATTTTTTCAAATTTCAATTTATGTTATTTATTTATATTTTACTAAAAAAAATATAATTATAAGAAACCTGACAAATTTTCACAATGCAGAAAACCCTGGGAAAAAGATCCATGCAGTTATTTATTATTAATATCGTTTCTACAGGGTGAGTCTTAAATAAGTGCAAATATTTTTAGGGGTATATAATATATTTCGACCCCAGAAATAGGATTATGAGGTTATTTTTGCGATTTTTTTTTAAATTTGAAATTTTTTGATTTTTTTTTAATTTTTTTGTTAAAAAACATAATTTCTATTTAGGTATATTTCAACATAGTTTACAAGAAGAAGGGAAATAACTCATCGGTTATTTTAGACTTATTTGAAAAAACCGTAAAGAGAAAATATGTTTCTGTTATCGAGATTTACCAGCCCTGAAAATATTTGCACTTATTTAAGACTTACCCTGTATAATATAACAATATAAATTGTATTGTTTTTTTTATATTATACCATAATAATAGTAAATATGAAGCTATACCCTGTATAAAATGAGTTTTAAATTATCAAGTTCTCTCTCTCTCTTTATATCTACTAATAACTCAAAACAATTGATTTTCATTGTAAAATATACAAGAATTTACATGATTAAATCTAAGAGATAAGAGATAATTTGTTATGAAAATATTGATTACTAATTTCCTACGAGGAAAAATTTCAGTTCAGTTTTTATATATTTTAACAAATATTTCAGTTGCTTACTACACTACAGATGGAATGAAAATGAAATGTAGGTTTTCTCGCATGTGTAATAGTTCAGTTCAGTTTTTATATATTTTAACAAATATTTCAGTTGCTTACTACACTACAGATGGAATGAAAATGAAATGTAGGTTTTCTCGCATGTGTAATAGTTCTGTGATATAGTTGATTATTCATGGTCCAGGCAACTCATTTGTTAAAACTCGTTCACCTGTGGCAGACATGGTCTCTTTTGTCATCCCCCTAATTATTCCGTTATTTCCTAAAGTTTACTGACATTTTTCACTGAAAAATATTCTATTTTTAGTGCATAGTGGCTAGAGTGTAGATCGTATGTGACCAGAATCTCCTAAACTAAAAAGTAAATATTTTATAATTATTAATTATATTATTTCTCGAATTTCTAACACGTATTTAGCAAATAATAATTATTAAAATATCAGCTTCCTGTAGTCTAGGCCAATGATGTATTGTAAATTTGTTCAACTAAAACGTTAGGTCATCTTGATATAAATCAAATTTCCGAATTTTTGTGGCAATTATATGATTAAAACTTCCTAAGGTCAACCTTTTAAAACAATATAATAGTGGTACTGGTAGATTTAGTTCGATTTTGTTCTTTTAGTTGTTCAGGATGATGAGGCCATTGTTTTGTTTCTGGTGTATTAGTAGCTTTATGTTTAGAGTATGTGTATCTCAGGATTATAGCTTCATAGCGGACATACCAATAGAAAACTATGACCCTGCTGAACGTCAAGAGAACGATATGGATTTGGAATTGCTTCCTAGAAGAGAAACTCGTTCCTATCCCTTGAACTCTGATCCTAAGGACTCATTTTTTAGGTACCTAATTTAATATATCACCCTTTATTAGGTTTAAATGAACTATCTTTTTAGATCAATGAGGTCCTTCACTGAAGGAGAAGATATTCCTAGGCCAGCCTTCCCATCTGTGCTGGCTTTAAACAACAACAGGAAAAAACGAAACACTGAAGAATCAAAGGTTACCGAACAAGGCAAGGTACTGAGCGGAATTGTTAACGATCTAGGTAAACCTTTAGAAATCCTTCCCTTGGATGCCAAAAATTTAACAGAGCCACAAAGTAGAGATGGTAATGATCAAATAGGTGAAAACACTCAAATGTCCATAAATGATTTCATAAGGTTTAGAAGATCGGCTGTTGAGCAAAAGGGCAACAATAAAGAAAAGTAAGGTTTTCTTTATAAAATACAATAAAACATTCATTTTAATAACTTTAATTTTAAAACAACAGCTCACCCAAGGAAGTTCCCGTATCTGAAAAACTTATGGACAGAAATAGTGATCAAGATACTCTTCGAAAATCTAGAGAAATAACTAACGAACAGTGGGTTAAGCAAGTTTACCCTGTTCGTAGACCCGATGAGTTTGCTTTTGATGATAACTTACCTTCTTCCAGTGAAAATTTCAGAGTTCCCCGTGTGAATTTTGTTACTCAGAAATTGTCAGATAGTGGACTTGCTTCTACAGATGTGCGGTCTTCTGGGAGGCAAGCTAGAGCAAGGAACTTAGATAGAGATATTGCAAGGGATTATCCTAAAGATCTTTTAAGAGATGAGAGTTATTATGATAGAAGACCTCGATATTATGAGAGAAACAGATTCTATAGGTAAAGTATTTCTTTCTGTTCATTGAAGTCTAAGAGTACTTATATAGTATTTCATTTTTATTTTTAATCATGTATCATCATAATTAGTATTTTCTTATATCAAAAAAGAACGTTTAGTCTTTATATAGGTTTTTGCGTAATTCATATGAGATGACATGTAAATTGCAAAAGTGTGACATTGTCATTAGTCCTCGGCTTGTAATAAGCATTGTATAGTAATTTATTTTTATTTCTAAATAACGGAAATAATGATATGCTACATTATTATTTGAAATCATGTCACTCAGTTCATTATACCTTAAATTAATTATTTTTTTATGCTTTATATTTGTTTTAATAATAATTAGAAAATGTTTCCTTAATTATACGTAGTATTATCTATATTATTAATCACTCAGGACAAAACCATTTACATTTTCTAGTAAAGAGTAACTGAGAGTTTAGTATTTTGTTTTGTCTCACTTTAACAGACTTTAACTTAGCACTAGTTAGTACGGTACAACGTATCTTATAAATAAAAAATAATCATATTTTTAGGGATGATTTATATAGGTACGACCCGCGCGATTCCAGATACGCGTACGATCCAAGATACGACAACTATTACAGCCCCGCACCCTATACACAGCCTCAGAAGCCTCAGAAGCGTATCATATATTACGCAACCCTTCCCGAACTTCCCCGAAATCTGCCGAACGTTGAATTAAGGAACAGATACAGATACGACAGGGATATGTACGACGACAGATACTTAAACGATCCGTACAGAGGTAGGAAAGGTTACCCCAAGTCCAGATACGACGAAGAGGGTAAGATCCCGTACCCTGTCAAAGTATCAACCGATGTCAATGTGAGGGAAGTAAAGAAGAATCCAGAAAGAAGGATTTATTCGGAAGTCGATAGGCCCAGATATGCATATAATACGCCACCCTATCGGGCCGCTGATGGCTAGATGGATGGAGAAAGTTTCTAGATTGTTAGACCATAGAAAAGCTTACTTTTATCTTACTTTTATATCTAAAACATTTTATTATGTTTGAAATATACCCCGTGGTCGAATGAAAATTTCGTCATAGGAGGCTGGCGTTTCTGATAGTAAAGTGACATCTGTTGTCATTTTTAAAGTATTGAATAGTAAGACCTCTGTATATAATGTGAAGACTTTTTATTGGACCATACGGTATTTATTTAGATTTAATTTTTCTCCGGTGAATTTTTTTCATGATTGTATTTTATCTTCTATAATATACATATTATAAATGTTACTTTATATGTACCATTTTATTGTACAACAGAAATGTCAAGATATATTTCACCTTTAGTTACTTAGATTAAGCTTATTAAATTTATGAATAAAAATATATATTTTAAGTAGATCTCTAATTTTTAATTTTAATTCTTCTTTTTGGGATATCAAAATAATCGAACTGAATTGTTTTGGTGAAATTATCTATTTATTTACTGTTCTCTTTCTTTTGTTAATATGTTTTTAGACATTATTGTTGATACCATTTTTTAGAAATTTTAGTAAAATAGATTGGACTTACTGTGAGAATATTTAGTGGTTTTATTTTCCTGCTGGACATTTTTCGTTAGTTTTGATTTCTTACAATAATAAAATGTTGAAAATAGAGTAGGTATTAAAAATAAAATAGTTATTTTCGATTTTATTAGACCTGACGTCTTATATAATTCATGTTATCAGAAATCCAGAATGCCAATTTATAAGAAGCCCGCATAAACAAATAATGTACATATATTAAAATATTTTTTGCTGATATTAAACCAAATTTTAGACCAAACAATAATTATCATAAACAAGAAAAAGTCGCCCTACTGTTGCCTATCTTTTTGTTTTTACTATCTCTTTATTGATTCTCTTCATTAATGCCAAAATTGTTGATCGATGGCCAAAAGCATAATTTATTCTTGGCATAACAGAATAAGGATCACACATATAGTCCAATTGACCTGATATAGTTCAATGATTAAAGAGTACACTTCAAAGATTATCAAGGAAAGTTTTAATGAACTTTGGAGTTAACTCTTTAATCTATGGTCAGACTAGGTACTACTTTCCACTACTAGGCGCCATTTGAGGGATTTAATTCTGTAGATTATGTCTATTTCCCAACTCTTCTATCTTTATTCACTCTATCTGTTATTCCAAGTTTAGGTCGCTCCAAGTGGTTACATCAACTCCGCTACGCCAGTCCCAAGCCTGGGGTCCCATTTCACTATGGGATAGGAGGAGGGGGAGGAGTAACAACCTCGTTAAAAAACCAGGGTTCATCTGGCCCGGATAATAGCACCCTGTCAGGGCTCCTGTATAGGATACAGACGAACTTGCTGTAAATGTTGGACTCGTCAAAGTAAGTGTAAGAAAAATGAAACTGGAATCAGAAATTAACCTTTCCTAGAAATCAGAGGTAGTCTCAGATCTCAGATGTCTCAAATGTCTCAGAATGTCTCAGAACATTCGACGAAGTTATTGTTAGGGAGGTTAGTCTAAAATTTATTTTTTTATTCTTCATATCTTAATATTTTTTTTTTCAGGAAATTTTTATGCTGCTTCGGCTACACTTTTTAAATAGGACTACAAAAGGTTCAAAATCCAAGGAATCAGAAGTTTTACAGCACTGGCGCTTTAATACGAATATTTTGAGGATAATACTCATCAGAATTGAAGCTCAAATCGATTGAATCAGACTGACTGAACATTTTTAAATACGATGGAAAGGCAAAGACAATAATTCGGTATGTTACCTGGGTTTACTGTCTCATCCAGTCTATCCTCCTGAGGTCCCTTTCTGTTAGTCCAAGCCTTGGTAACTTATGAATTCATGATTCAACGTCCAGGTGTCACAGTCGTACAAAAAGGAGAAGCCCGACTAGAAAAGTCTGGACAAGACATAGAGCTGAAATCATAGTTGGAAATGTAAGTAAATTATTTTTTGAACATTAGTTTGTGATGTATAAAGTTATGCTACTCCTCCTGTATATTTGATTTAAATTATTTTGTAATACTACAGGAATGGAGTGCTATCAAATTATGGTCAGAAGTTTATAAATGGCAGGGACAATTAAATTTAGTAATAAGGTAGTAAACAGATAATGTTGTAAACACATTGCATTAAGTTTTTTTTTATTTCTTCTAGTTGTGGTGTCGCTGTAAGGAACTCTAGGGCAAGGGAACGAGGATCTTCTAGAATTAAGGTAGGATTTTGCACATTTTATTACAATTTTTTGTGATTTTTTAGGCATATCTTTCGATCAATAAAAATTACCAATTTTTGTCTATATCGCGAATTATATACTACTTAGAATATGTCGAAAAAAATAGGTAGGCTATTTAGGTAGGAAATTCTATTATGTATATTTTACACAAAATATATATGGTAGGGTTATGTAGATTTTTTTGTAGGATAGGTTATCATTGGATAGGTATTATAAGGGTATTATATACGGTATCCCAGAAATAAGTGCAAGTATTTTAACTGGTAGTATATTTCGGCCTCAGAAACACGCCAATGAGGTATTTGTTGCGAAAAATTTTTTTGAAAATTTGGAATTTTTTGAAAAAAAATTTAGAAAATTTTTTAGTTTTAAGTTTAAAAACATTTTTTTTTTCAAAAAGGTTTATTTCTTGATAATATGGCAACATAGGCAGTAGATTAAATTTACATCAAAATTTGAGCTTACTCAAAATTTAAGCAAAAAAGCATTTTATTTAATTTTCAAAGTAAAATAACTTGGTTATTTTGGACTTATTTGAAAAACGATAAAGAGAAAAAATGTTTCTTTTGATCAGATCTACAAACCCCTTAAAATACTTGCAATTATTTCTGGGACACCCTGTATATTATTTTGTAGGATAGGTTAAATTTTTTTTATAAAAATTCATTATTTGAATAATTTTTATATTTAGATTTCTCAGAAAAGTAGTAGATAAAGTCATAAAATTTTGAAAATATTAGCATTTGGAATATACAGGGTGTCCCACAATTAGTGCGATAAACTGAAAGGGGTTGTAGAGTAATGCCCTCTAAACAAGTCATTTGAGTATAGGACCCCATGTCCGGTAGTATTAAAATGAGCGGAAGGAACTTGACTGGACGTGCACTAAGGTACCAACACGGAACACGGACTGCACGCCCTACTATCAACAGCGAACAGGCGTGTGCATTTTTGTCTTCAACAGAATGGACGGGGCGTTGAGCAGTTTTTGTAAATGTTTTGAATAAATAATGCAACTTGAAATTTACGTTTTACTCCACGTCCTGCCAAAATGGCACATTTCCGGACGTGGGTTCCTATCTCAAATGACTTGTTTTGATGCCCTCTACAACCCCTTTCAGTTTGTCGCACTAATTGTGGGACACCGTGTATAAACATTTTTTTTTAGAGTTTAAACGCTTTAATTTTGGGGAAAAACATTTTTTTCAACCCTTGTTTTTGAACGTTTTTAAATATGTTTATGGAAATTTTGATGTACCTTTTTGGAAAAATAAGTAAGTCAGTTAGGGTTAAGTTAGTTAGTTAAGTAAGTCCATTCTTTTTCTAAGTTAGTTTTTCCCAAACAATTCAAAATTTCTTCGAATTCAGGAATACCATAATATAATAATTTATTAAGATCAAGCTGAGGTTGTATGAAAATTCTCGACGCTCTAGTTTGAACTAGACAGCTTCAAATTTATAGGCCATCGCTTTAAGGTGCAATTAATAAAAACAAACGGCGTGTGGAAACTAAACTAATTTTAATTACCTGATCGGTGACATTTCAACAGATATAAATTAAGCGAGCTGGGCTGGGAAAAAATCGAACTTTCAATGCAAATGTATCGCTGAATCAACAGTCGACTTGTACATAGATTACCTTGCGACAAAGCAACTACCATAAATTTATATTTGCCCGCCTCGCATTAGCCATAAATTGTCTTTTGGTAGATTAGCTTTGCATACGTTGACTTCGGTTTACTTTACTTCGTCGTATTATCGGAAGATTATTCAGTCAGCGTACAAGAAGTAGGCATGCAAAGATTTTAATTCAGTTTTCAATTAAACAGATCGAAGGGTCTAGTTATTTCGTTTCATGTTTCTGTAAGCTTACGATTTTCCATGAGGCAATAATAGAAGTATTCAGAGATCATTTTTTGATACAAAGAAAGCAATTACTTTGTTTCTGTATCGTACAAAATGTCCGAAGTACACAGCTAGGCAAGATCGAAGAGTCTCGAAGAGTGAGATTACTAGATTCTTCGATTTATAATAATATGAGATATTATTTGTTTCTGTAAGCTTACTTTTTTTTCTTGAGGTAATTGTAGAAGTATTCAGAAATCCTCTTTTTGGTGAAAAAAAAGTAAAGACTTTGCCTCTGTATAGTGCAAAAATTAGGAAGTATAGCTAGGCAATATTTAAATTTATTTTTCAATTAAACAGTGGAAGAGTCTAGTGATTCCATTTCTTGTTTCTGTAAGATTAAGATGAGACCAGTCGAAGTATTCAGAGACCATTCTATGATACAAAGGAACGTAAAGAGTTTAGTGATTCCTTTCCTTAGTTCTGTAAGCTTACTGTTTTTTTTAGGTAAGTTCATTTCAGTAGAAATATTCGGAAATAATTTTTTGATAAAAAGAAACCAATGACTTTGTTTCTGTATTCTACAAAAAGTAGGAAGTATACCGGGTGCGTCTCGAAAGTGGCTCACCCCCTATAAATTTTTTATTTTTTCAGGTAAAAAAAAAGAGGTTTGGTATGTTAGTATATGACGTAAATTCGGATTGATTGACGTTTTCAACTGTTCTTTGTCACTTCCGCTTTCACCGGATATGACTACAACTTTTGATTTTTAAATGGCACCATCGATATTTTTTTATTCGATAGAAAATTATACTCTGAATAGAATGACATATCATATGTCAACTTTTGACATTTTCGCGTATGGTTTATTTGACATTATAACATGCGGTTCATAACGACAATTTGACTTGAAATACTAAGTGTGTGGTATCAAATTGTTCGTAAAAAAATGTTTTTTCCAAATATGCTAATGAGCCACCCTCGTTCGATTTGAAAAAATTGAGATCTGATTAAAAATACGATTAACCGACCAGGATAAAACACTAAAAACATTAGACGATCAAATCTATTTTTCCGAGGCTTCTTGATTAAAGATTAGCGTTTTTAACACAGTCATGGCACTCTAGATTGAAATTTACAATACAATTTGTTTTTGAGCGAACGTATCAAAAGTGACGAAAATCGAATGATATATGATACTTAACATATGCTATGTCATTCGATTCACAAAGTAAAAAAATACAGACGGTGCCATTTAAAAATCTAAGGTTGTAGTCATTTCCGGTGAAAAAGGAAGCGACCGAAAACAATTGAAAACGTCAATCAATCTGAATTTACCTCATATACTAACATACCAAATCTCGGTTTTTTATCTGAAAAAATAAAAAAAGTTATAGGGGTGAGCCTTTTGAGACGTACCCAGTATAGTTAAG